ATGTTGTGGGCCACCATCATAACATAGGAAATATTTCTTTTGGAACAGCCCTTCATAAAAAGAGTTGTTATTCATGGCAGCTGTGAGGAGCTCAGATGACAGACTGTGCAATGGAAAGTGTCAGGTCAGGGTTCCTGCGTGTCTCACTTTCTCTGATGTACTTGCTAATGCATGCTGCTTACTGCAGCAAGGGCTGCCTATATCAGAGCTTGTATTTGCTATATGCTGACTTCTCTTCCATACCTTCTCCTCAGTGCTTCCTCACATACACCCTTCTGCTGCTGCTACCTGTTTTTTTGTTACTTTAAGGAAGTCAGGATGTTACTATGGGACATTTGGCCATAAAGATATTGATATTTCCTGCAATGGGAGGAGTCAGTGGGGATGTGAAAGGATGCCAAGGTCTGTGGACAAGATCTCAAGATGTGGCTGTGCTTAATATGTGGCAGGAATTCTGTGCGCTTTCCATTTTGCTTTCTGGATGTTGACTTATTTCTTACCAAAGTTATTAAGGTTCTGCTCATGTTAATCTGTGTTTTGAGCGTGAATTGCATTTTGTTTTCTTTGATTTTTTCCTTTTACATTTACGTGTATGCATTTAGTGGGGAATATTCATTCTGGGAAGTGTCTCCCCTGGGTTGGTGAGTGAAGGGAAAGGAACTCCTGTGTAGTGCTGTGCTAGAGGATGCAAAAGCAGTAGCCTTGAACATTATGTGGAAAACCCAAATCTCATATCATTGTCACAACAAATTTAAGGATTGACTTATACGTCATATTCTCTCTCTCAGGTTTGGTATATAATGTCCATAGTGTCCAACCAGCTGTCAAACGTATGATGATGCAGGGATAACAGCCTCACAAGCTGGAACACTGAGTTGTATAAATTAAATTGGAAGTGTTAGTCTTCTGTATTTATGTTGGGCTTTTGTTTGTTTGTTTGTTTTGCACTTAATCCTAAATTAGTCTCTTAAAACAATTATTTTTATGGATACGATGGTTCTACAAACATAAAATCACACTTTTCAGCCTACTAAAGCCTTACGGTTGTCTGCAGTGATGGGGTATGGAGTATCAGCTGGTAGGGATAACGGGGAAAATTGGGAGTTTGCTGCAGGTGCGCCATACTGGCACCACACAGTCAGCTTGGGTCATGCCTTCATTGTGCATCAGTTAGACCCCCGCTGGCTGCTGAAATAAGGAGAACTCACTCACTTCATTCAAGCTGGGCTTTTTCCAGATACCTTTTACAGTATTGCACTCAGCAAATAGGCCCTCTCAGAGCCCAAGGCATTTGTTAAGTTCAGGAATGGGACTTGTTGAGTTCTTCCTGCATTGCATACTGAAGTTTACTAAATGAGATACAAGTTGGCCCCATGCATGGCTTGGTAGATTGGGTTCTCACAAGCAGCCCTCCAGCTGTTGGAACAAACGTGATTTCAAAGTCTAAAACTGCCATAGCTGAATGTTGTGCTCCTAATCCAGAAAGCCCTGAGGGATGTGGGCAGGCTGCAGAGGAGTAGATTGTCCAGTATTACCTGTCTGCAACCACAGAGGATAAATGAACCATGGATGCTGTAGAAATGACTATATGTATAGTCAATATTTATAAACTTCAGCACTAAAAATCCATACCCTGTCAAAGTCATGAAGTTAGCTTGAAACCGTTTTAAAATCTTGGACTTTTTGCCTTCTGAATTTTTTTACTACTTTAGCTTTTTATATCCAAACTTTTCTCTGAAGCCTTAAGAAGTCAAAACATGTGCATATAAATAGAGATTGTTCTTTCATCTGGTGGAACATCAACCAAAATACGAGATACGGGAGCTGACAGCACTGGAAAGGTGTGTCTATTTTAAGCAGTGATTGAAAGTTGCACCCAGCAAAAGTCTCTTATCTGCTTCACAATGATGCCATCCCTTCAAAGAAAATGATGACTTTTTTAGATCCTTGATCTGAGAAAGGACAGCAAAAAATGTTTGGTGTAACTGCCAGGGTTCTGGGTCAAGAACAGTCATATCTAAAAAAGGTATGACTGAGATAAGTGCAATGTTGTTTCTTGTCAAATAGAAAACAGACTTGAGTTTCTTTTTTCCCATATACTGCAGAGATGTGAGAGCATACTGCTCTGTGGTAATGTTAGAAGGCTCACTGAAACTACATGATTAAAAACTCATTTTCATTGTTTTCAACAAATGAAATGCTAGAAGTAAAGAACAGTTTGGAGATGGGAGGTGATATCCCTTTACAAGTATCAAAGTTTATCTCCATAGCATTATTGTGTCCAGCTACATAAAGCAAATAATAAATAAATAATAAAATAAATAATCAGCTCAGCATAAGTAAATGGAAAGAAATGGAGGACACAGCAGTCGAGTCATTGGAAGGATGATCGTTTTTGCCATCAAGCAATTGTTTCACAGCTGGTTTACCAGAACTGAATCCTGTGCTCGGAAGGACCTGCTTCAGCAGAAAATGCCTTGCAAAAGAAGAGAGCTGTGAGTTTTCTGCAGCTAAAGAGGCTGACAGAGCCAGGCCTCCCTAGTTTAAATGCATAGATGGGGTAAAGTGCAGGGGTATGTGAAGAGTGTAATGCATTATAAGAGAAGGTGAGGGCCTGTAGCCCTTTTTTTTTTTTAAATAGCAGCAGGCCTTTGGGCTGTTAAGGACACACTTGTTTTGGAGGAGCCATTTTGAATCTCTTTGATCAGCAGCTGGTGACAGCCACAGGGGATTCCTGCAGGCGCCGGCCAGGTGAGCCCACAGAGCTGCGTGGCTGCCTGCTGACAGGCTGAATGAAAGCCCTGTGCTCTGAGAGACCAGCACAGGAAGGGAAATGGCTACTCTTGCTGCTAACAGTCTGCCCAGAGGGCTGCAAGGGAATCTGGGGATGACTCAGATCACAACTGTGGTGATGCACTGGGGAGAGGGGAGAGACTCAGTCTGAAAGTCAGAGATGGAAGTGTAGCCTGCTGCTTAGAAACAGTGATCAGAGGTCATAGATGCAAGACATCCTTGAATCTGACAAACAAAATGTGCTAACAAAGTGAAATTTATTGTTTTGAGTGCTCCAGTGTTTGTAGCTTGAATTATAATGGTAAACCAGGAAAGGAAAAGGCTTGAAGGCATTAGCTCCAGTTACCGTTCTCCATGGTTTCTTGACTGTGGGGGGGACGCTTTTAAACCGAGACAGATCCTGGCTTGTTCAGCTTCAATTCATGCTTTTCCACTGAAGGTCCCAAAACTCGAGCTATTTGTTTTTTCTTTCTCTCTTCCTGTGGGTTTCCATCCTGGGTCTAAAAAGCAGCTGTCATAAGAATTACTAAAACAGAAAAGTAGTTCTTCATATCATCTGAATCATATGCAGGGTAAAATGCAACCTATCTGAAAGATCTGCAGTTTTTAAACTACTAAAACCCACATTTGACTTTAAAACAGGGAGGACAGGGATGTTGGTCATGCTAATGGGATTTCAAATTTAAGTCTTCCTAGACGTGTATAATGTATATGATATTTCAAAGACTAGTACAAGCGCGACTGGGGAGGCTTGTGAATTGCCAGAAGAGCTGAGATATTAAACACAGATTGCTGCTTTGGGCAATGTTATCTATTTATCTGTATAAACATTTCTTTTTTTACACTGTAAAATGTTAGAGAGGATATAGCAAGTACGCATTTCTGGGTTTGTGCTGCTTTCCATTGGCTTCACTGACCAGGATTACAGTCATTGCAATTATACTGCATTTTTGTTATACTAACAGCACACTACTGGCTTCCTTTTTATTTCTTCAGATTTACTTTTGCAGCCTTCATACTGTGTCTATGACCAATCTTGTAGAATTTAGGGTGTCTCTACTGTCAACTCTTGCACCATTCGCTCTCTGAGCTTCTCCACATATTTGAGCAATGCAGTGTCTTTATATCCTGAATAACTGTGTCAGAACAGGCATCTTTATGGAATCCTTTCACTCCTCCAAGTGAAACAGGTTTTCTCCTACTTCCTATGCTTTCTTCTGCTCAGGGAATGCCCTTCCTGAGGTGCTCAGCAAAGGCACAACCTTTGTAACTTCCCTGAAGATCCGATGCTGTGATGCTGGTGAGAAAGTGACTAAGTAATCTGTTTATCTCTTTCATTGATCTTGTGAGTGATTCATTCCTTCCATGGTGCTTACAAGAAATTAGTTGATTAAATCTGTTTCCTCTGATTCTGAGGAATGCCACTCACCAGACCAGGCTGCCCAGGGCCTCATCCAGCCTGGCCTTCAATGCTTCAAAACTGTCAGGAGTGTTTTAAAGACTGATCGCAAGGACCTAATAGCATCTAGTGTGGCTATTGCCTCTTGTCATCCTGCACAGTGCATTTTTCATGTCACTTAATTTTTACTGTTTTGTAATTCAAAAATATGTTCAGTAAGATGAATGTATTAAGGTCTGTGCTTGCTAATCTGCTGCTAGCAATTGCAGATAGTGTTGTCCACATTTTAAATTGAGAATTTCAAAGTATTTTAAGAACTTTTAATTGAATAAATAGCGAATTAAAGCAATATTTTTCTTAACAGTGGGAAGCAGCAAACTGAATCTTTTTGTAATCACACTGTTTGATGTCACAAGTAAAATATAAAGGGATCATTTCAGCTCTTGTTTTCCATAACAGACGGTATTATTGCGCTTGTATCATTTAATGCACAGCAAACAATGGTTTCCTTTTTGTGCAAATGCCTGTGTGTTTTGTGTCCTCCTCAATGGGATATCTCCATGTCTGAAGTTAAGCACATGCTATATGTCAGCAAGAGCTGTGAAGTTCAGCATGTATCCATTGTTCATTTATTACTGGTATTGCCTGAGGAAACGTTATGAGAATTGTCTTTGAATCGTGGTTACTGCTGCCCAGCTTCTCCCACTTGCAACCCATGAGTGGAAGGTAAAAGAAGACAAAGGAGTGAGAACAAAGGAGAGCTTTGAAAGGAAGTGTTCTTTCAACGTGGACTTTCTTTTTGTTGTAGTTCAGCTTATGATACCAAAACAAGACAGAAGGTGGCAGTAAAAAAGCTTTCAAGACCTTTCCAATCGCTTATACACGCAAGGAGGACCTACCGAGAGCTCAGGTTGCTGAAGCACATGAAGCATGAGAATGTAAGTGAAGAGTGAGTGCTATCCCTTCAGATTTTTTATGACACGAGTTTGTCATATAGGTGTAATTTCTAACAGGTACAATCTTATTAGAAAAGTGCATACAACTCTTTCTGGCTACACGAGATACCTGAACATGGATACCTCACCTATAATGAAGTCACTGGACTGTAAAGACTTCCAGTATAGTAATGCCTTTTTACTGCAAAATGATCTACTTTGGTCTCAGAGCTTCAGCTAATGGAATCTGACGGAAGCTTTTCTGTAATGTGATGTTACATTTCCTGACTTTCTCTGTTTTTACTGTTTATCTACAGTCCCATTCTGCTTTTTGCAATTAATAGATTTTTTAATTGGTCATGGAAGTAGTTGAGTCTCTACCTGCACAAACTGCCTGCCTATTTTGCAGGTTACACTGAGTCTTCAAGATGAACACATGCCGTGTGTTTGTAAGCTTCCTGCAAAAATTCTAAGCACTGGCAATAATAATTGTGTGTTGCTTTCCATCTTTCTAAAAATAAAATGTAAGTTCTCTTGCCTTTCAGGTTATAGGATTGCTGGATGTTTTTACACCTGCAACATCAATAGAAAATTTTAATGAAGTGTAAGTAATGTTTTAAAATAATTCTGACTAGTTAGTAAGTAACCAAGTAGTACTGTTTGTAGAAAGGAAGCACATACATTTGTGGTAGATTTGAAGCCAAATTTGGCTCTGTATAAAGAAACACAACAACTAAAAAAAAAATCCCATAGAAAGAAAAGCAAGGTGACAGGCCGCCCTGTAGTACTTTGTGAATGATGGTTTATAAGGCTGCAAGTATCTCATAAATGTTTTGGTGTTGTAGATTGTTTTTTTCAAAGGCAGATGGGATCATTCAGGAATGCAGGAAAGTATTCTGTTGGCTACCTTAGACAAGATAAATTAGATACCTGGATAGTCAAGAGCTAGTTGTAATTTGGTGTTACTCAAACATACCATATGTACTGAGTTGCTCTTGGCTTACATCTGCTGTAAGCAACTACATAAACAGTGTAGACAAGGAAATACTAACAAACATTTTTTTTCTCCATGAAAATTAGTGGCCAGGCTCCTCTGGAGCAAAATTATACAAACAAGAGCTAAGAATGGTAGAATGATAGATGCATATTTTGTCCCAACACTTTTTTTTTTTTTTTTTTTGGTGGCTTCTGAATATTTCTACAAGACTTACGGGGAAAAAAAAAAAAATAAAGTAAAACCCAGTGGAGGTAGGGAAAGAAATTACACAAAACACTTGAAGCACTCTTATTTCAAACAATTTGATGTTGATCTCCATCATCAGATATTCCTCACAGGAACTGTCGTTTAGAGGCCCCGATCTCCCACTTGTATGTTGGTCAGAATCTCTGTTCGTCTTGAGGCATGATGCCTTCTCCCCTGATTGAACTGCTTTAGTATTTCATGGAGAGAAAAACAGATCAAAGCTTTTAATGTGCCATAAGGATTTTTTTTCCCCCCATATTAAATCTCATAGCTGTGATTCCTTTATTAGAGCTTATAGCTGACTGGAGGGACATAAACCATACGTGAGTAGAAGTTGGAAAAGGAATCTGAACAGGAGTGTGTAGTTTACTCATTAGTTGTACTTCTTTTACATTTTGCCAATCTCAAATGGGGAATGTTTATTTGTTTTCTTCTGTAAGGTCTGTTTTATTTTCACAGGTATCTTGTGACGAATTTAATGGGCGCTGACCTAAATAACATTGTGAAGTGCCAGAAGTTAACAGATGACCACATACAGTTTCTTATATATCAGTTACTTCGAGGACTTAAGGTATTGGCTCAATATAAGGCTATATATGAGAGAGCAACCAAGATGTTGTGGTAATGACTGGTTCAATACTTAGAACAGTTTGTGTTGGGAGTGCTCAGATAGCAGCACGTTTCAGAATTTTTGATTATTTTACTAACCAAAAGTAAACCCCAAGCCTGCAAATGGTGACAGTTGCACATGGAATATTTCCATCAAACACTGACTTTGAGTCAGTCTATTTAAGGTATTATTGAAGGAGACTCACTTGTTACATGGTCTCTCAAGTGAAGATGTTTAGTAGCATGCATTGTGTGCTTCAGACATTTTCTCTGTCAAGGGAAAGTAATGAAAAACTTACGAAGAATATGAAATTGTTAAAGCTTAACATTGCAATTAATTCACATTTTCACATGCTTTGAAAGACCTGAGCCAGTTTGAAAAAAAATACAGCCCTGAGAGAGAGAGAGAGAGCATCTCATGGGTGGGGAAATAAGTGAGTTGGTTGGATTTATTGGGAAACTTTTGGAAGTAGTAGTTCATTCTAGCAATGTACAGTGTTACACAGGATCACTTAGGATTTTTTCTTCCTGTAAACTCATTCTTTCCTTTAATCACATTGTTAAAGTTTATACAACTCAGTCATGTAGGCAGTTGGCAATGAAATTGTAGCAAAAACTTCCTAAAGAACTAAAATATGTTTCATTTTGCTGACATTAAACATGAAAGAGTCTATAAACAGCAGAAGATTTAGGAAATGCTTTGCAGTACTAGATGATAAACATTTTCCTCAGCCAGTGTTGAGTGTTTTTTTCAAGGCATATGCAAAAAAAAAAAAAAAAAGAGCTCAGCTGCTGTAGTAAACTTTATAATGAAAACTTTGTCATGGAAACACAAGTGTGTGTTTGAAAGCAGGCAGTGGTGAAAAGCTCTGAGATGTTTACTGTGTGGTTTTGAGGAAGTCATCTGGTGCCTGAGAGGATGATTCTTATTTGTGCTTGTGCATTCTGTCAATTTAAGTGCAGATTTTAGGGAAGAAGAATTGCAGAACTGAGCCCTTAATTGCTTTGTCTCATTTACTTAAGTTAATAGCTTAAGTAGGAAGATGAATCCAGAGTTAATTATCCAACCCACGGTTTTGAATATGACCGTGTCGTGTCAGAGCTAAGTAACAGTTGTGCTCAAAAGTGAATATTCATTTCAGAAATGCACTGTCTGTGCTTCCAAGGGAAGAGGTTGCTTGTTACTTGGAATCGAAATTCTCACATCCATCGTTACAGCTTTAGTCCTTATACCTGGACTCATGGGTACATCTGTCTGGGAGTACACAATTCAGGCTCAAGCCCTGCAGATCCCATTGGAACACATGAGGGGCTGGTGTGGCAGGCAGGTAGAGCTGCTTGGTGGTACTACAGCAGCCCTTCTCAGCAGCTGTATGCAGTTAATTCTGTTTCAAGCAGTGTTTGGTTTCCTCTGCATTCAGCTGTTTGCAGTTATTGTGAAGAGCATTTAAATGTGTCCCTGTCCCACTGATAAACAGTGTGTAAGCCTGGAATTGAAAGAATGCAGTTTTGTTTTCTTTGGGTTTTTCCCCAGTTGATATCAACATTTTTCGTGCAATCTTCGCTCCTGAAAGATGGTAGTTGCTTCTTTAGAGAATGGAAGAGTATGTTTCAGAGCTCCTACTGGTCTTTATCAGTAAGATTATATAAATAAATTGGCAGTCAGTCTTAACAGCTGAACTATAGGCAGTTGCAGGTTAAGCTTTTCTCACTCTTTGAGATCTAGTAATATACGTAAAATAGCAGAGACACTAAATAATCATTGAAACACCACTTTATGTCCCTCCTGAAAGTGGATCTGAAACAATGCCTGGATATCTGTTCTGGCCACTATCTTGTCCAGGGGAGCAAATAGCTGCCACCCACGTTCAGTGTTCACAGTATGGAAAAAATAACTTGTATTACTTAGGTGTCAGCCATACTGCTCCCAAGGCCACTGACTGTACTGAGAAGCCAACTGCACAAAGTGGCCATCTAGGTAAGATTGGAATATGTTTCAGTATTTTTAAATTTTCAAAATGAGAAATTTTTGATGGAGAATTACTGCTTACGACAGTGTTTACAGTTACTTTTTCTGAAATATCTATCTCTGGGTAAGAGAAAGCAGATAGGTTTTGAAATTAGTCATTTCCCCATCTGCCTTGAATGTGTACTGTGACATAAATCTTTGCTGTATATAGAACCATCAGGTCCAGTAGCAAAAAGATAAAGCAAGTGACCCACATCTTCCTAACCTCTGACTTCCAATTTTACCTTTTTTTTCCCCATGTTGTTTCACAGTATATTCACTCAGCTGGAATCATCCACAGGGTGAGTTCATTCATTGCTATAATAAAGATGAATGGAGCGTGTCCCTCCATGTGTCAAAAGTGTTATTAAGATATATTTATAATATACCTTAAAAGGTTAAAATGGTACCTGACTGACTGTCTGTGTTCCGGTACAGGATCTGAAGCCCAGTAACTTAGCTGTAAATGAAGACTGTGAATTGAGGGTAAGAATCATTCTGCTGTAATGAAGAGTGCGTGAGGAATCAATCTATTATAATGAAGAATGTTTTAATAGCTTTCAGTGTTACAGTTCTCTAAGGAAAATTTTTATTTGCCAGTTTTGTTTCTGATTCCATTAATTTTGTACGCTTACTACTATTGTTCCCTGGCCATAGAGGCATTTCCATGAACATGTTTTCTCCCAGATGTGAGTTTATCATCACCACGTCTCCTTACAAAGCGTTCCTCCCTAGCTCCTCGCAGACAGAACATCAACGTATTTGTCTAGACACATCTCATGACAGAGTACTTAACTGGCTATCTCTTGCACTATGAACACATGCCAAGTTTAGATGAGGCCATGTAGCAGCTTTCATTTTTATATCTACAGAATAGAGTTAAATTTAATAAAAATGTTATGAAAGATGCTGGTATCCCCAGGTGCAGTCAGCATTAGCACCAAGACAAAACAAGCCCATAATTCACGCTATTCAGGTACTATGTTAATTCACATCTCTGTATAAATACATATCTTTCTGTATCCATGTGATGCAATATTAACTAATAGCATGAGGCTCTGAAGGAAAAAGGGGAAGTTGCTTTCTAAGCCTTAAAGCTTGAAAATGAGTAGCTTAGCATTTCTCCATGACATGTTTCTTTCTCTGACTGGGATTCTGCTATAATCACTTTATTCCAGCTGTGAGGGATTTAAATTTCCAAATATTGTGAGAACAAAAAAGAGAAATGCAATACTGAGTAAGAGCAATGCTTTTAGGTTCTCATGCTAATCCTGATCTGTTGTAAGAAGCTGTAGTTCCTGTTTGGGTTAGTGAGAGCTGCAGATGCTCAGCAATTTTCATTATTATCCCTTTAATGTTTTTACGCATATATGTTCAGCATCTGTGAAATGTTGTAGTTCATCTGGTTCTGATCATTCACTTTAAAATGTGTGCAGTGCTTTTGTACTGTAAGAACCTTTTAATCTTGTTTTCTATCATTTTATCTGTCCACATTTCTTCCTACCATTTGCTACATTGTTCTTTGTTTTCTTTATAGCTTTCCTTCCTCTGATACCAAATTATTTTGTAGTGGAACAAACTAGTGGACATCTCCAAGTACAAGCAAGAAGGAAATAGAAGCAAAAAGATGCAGGACATGTTTGTTGTACACATTTGATAAAAGGCATCAGCTGTTAAAACAAATCTTGCTGACACTTATTTATAATAATGGAGATGTTGGTATTCATGTTTCAAGCCCTTATTCATGCCTTATTTGTCTCATGTATCTTTTTATAGAAATATATAATGCTTTTAATGTTTATTGGAAGTAAATATGTTTATGTGTTGTTTACACTTTAGCATTTTCCTTTAGACTTTTTATATCATTATATTGGATTATAAGTGCATAATTTTGAATTATAGTCTTAAAATGCTTATGTTCCCAGTGAAAAGGATTTGCCATCAGGTTAATAGATAGCACTGGATCTCAGCATGGGATTGTGACTGGTTTTATTCATGTTTCTGTTTGAAGAGATGCAGAATAGTCAGATAACAAACAGCACTGAAGCTGAACATTTGCCCTTTCACAGCAGCACCTCTTGAAGTATGGGATAACTTTTAGCTCCACAATTAGTTGGACATGGGCTTATTAAAAAATGGAAAGAAAGAAATGAGCAGAAAAAAAATATTTGAAGTAACTTTCTGTCCATGTAAATTCACCAAGAGAAAATGTAAGGAAGGGAACATTCTGCCATCGTGCCTATGAGTAACATGTACCTAATCCGAGCCTGTTGTTGTTTCACTGGGGGAGCTCTATCAAAAACAGATGGCACATGATGTAAATATACCTTGTTGTGCAGGATATATGTTCCCCTCCCAGTGACATCAGAACACTGCTTGATTTGGGTAAATGCTGCCTGCGTGCAACAGTGCTGGAAGCAACATGAGGCAGAAACAACAGAACTTCTGGGGCTTGTGATTTGCTTGTGTGGTCTTTAAATGCTCTGTCCAGTGGCATTTGCTGTTGGCACTTCGTACAAATGTTCCCAGTTGGCAGTGTTTCATTTCTATAGCAACAGTGCTTGTTTTTCAAAAAGCAAATGTTAGAGGAAAGCTGAACATTAGGCAAGGTGTAGAGTTTTTCTTAGAAAACAAAGGGTCAGACTCATCACTGTGGAAGTATCTCTATAATCCCCACAGACAGCACAGGAGCTCATGCACAGCACTGCAGTTTTACTTCACTGGTGGAGAGATGCTTGGGCTCAGATATGAACCATCATGGAATGGCTTGGGTTGGTGGGGACCTTAAAGATCCTCTTGTTCCAGCCCTCGCTGGGGTGGTAATGGGGAAGATCAGTACCCATAACAAAAGTAACGAAAGCTATTTCTATTTGTTTTTATCATTCTGTAGATTTTAGACTTTGGTTTAGCTCGACAAACCGATGATGAAATGACAGGCTACGTTGCAACAAGGTGGTACAGAGCTCCAGAAATCATGTTGAACTGGATGCACTACAATCAAACAGGTAGGCTATGGAGACTTCATTTTGCTGCAGCTGGATATAGTTATAGTATATCTATATGGAAACAACTCCACTTATTGATGTCTTTGAGTCATCCTACACATTTCTCTCTCCTATTTTTGACAGTTGATATCTGGTCTGTTGGATGCATCATGGCAGAGTTACTGAAAGGGAAGGCCCTGTTTCCAGGAGATGATTGTATCCTTAAGTAAAAGCAGAAAAATGCAGCTATAGAAATACTTTACAATTCTTCTATTTTTCTAATAGATCAGGCTTTTCAGGTAACAAACTTCTAAAACGATAAACAATTTTTGTTATTGTTTCAGTTTGATACATATTGCAGCTAAAAATGAGACCATCCAGTAGAAAAAGAAACAGGAGCAGATGTCCCTAAATGGTAGTTACATTTCTTCCTTATGTTGTATCTGTATTTAAATAACAGCCTGGTTGCAACAGAACAGTTTTCTTCCACGTATGTGTCTTACATAAATGATGGATGTTAAAAATGAAGCTGAGTAATTAAGTGTTTTTTGATCTGCTAATGCTGTGTTAAGACATAGAACTAAGGCTGGAAGTTCCTCTAGTGCAAAAAAACCACTTTTCAATACTAAGTGAATAAATAGGGATATCATTGCCTGTTACAAAACAAGCCAGAATTTCCAGAAGTGCCACAGAGGAAAGAAAGCATTCTGTCACCTGCAGCACTGCGCTGTGGATTCCGTTGGTGCTGCCTGTGCTGACAGGAGAAATAAGAGAACAGGTGCTGAGGAGAGTAGTAAAATAAAGCAGTAATGTTAATGAGGAAGGAGAAAATAACTGCACCAGAGAAAGAAAGCTTTTAATGTGAGAAACAAAAGCACGTGCTTCTGTACTGGATATTGACAAGTCTTACTACTCTAAACCTCCCCAGAAGCCAATGCTTGTGCTGAAACCAAACCATTGCCAGGTGTGGAACAGCATCATATTAGAATTGCCTGATATGTTAAGAGAAGTGAGAGGCCAAGTCTTCCCACTGACTCTTCTGCCATGCTCAGCCTCATTAGGCTCTACTATAAGCACAGGCATTGTTCAGATGTCCATCATCTGGGTGATCACTGTGCTTCAGACTGGTTATGTGCTACATGGAAAAATCAGTAGTACATCCAGCTCTGAAGAAATAAGGTATTTTGCTGTTCTAAAATATTGTCTACGACTATATGATTAGAATTATGTAATTAATTATATGATTACAACTTGAAGTTGTAAAATAGCATTTTCTAGGGAAAAAGTAGTGTGTTTTATGGGTTGTATATGACAACAAAAAATGCACATTTTAAAGTTTATAATCCTGACACTGATGTAAAACAGTTTAAAGCTACCAAATGACATTTTTCCTTTTACCAGCTCTCGGATTAGTGATCTAGTCCAATTTAGTATGATGTAATGTTTTTCAGTCCTTCAGAAAGAAAAATGCACTATTAAAATTAAGTTTAAGAGTCTGTTAAATAGGAAGCTGGGACAGGGAAGCAATGTTTTTGCAGGCAATGTTTTAGCTGGGGCAGGGAAGCAATGATTTTCTCACATATGGGCTCACCAGACCAGAGATTCACATAGTGCTGTAGAAAAGATAAAGAATTAGGTACTCCAAGTTAGGTTTAAGCAGGTGTGAATTTATATCATCCAGTGGACTCAAATGGAATTGTCTTGCTTGTTTTAAACAACCACCTGCATGAAAGCTCATGAATTGTTTAACCCAGCAGTTCTGTCTGACATTTATTACGTTGCCTTTAATTTTCCTGAAATAATGTAGATATTGATCAACTAAAGAGAATAATGGAAGTTGTGGGTACACCCAGTTCTGAACTTCTGAAGAAGATATCATCAGAGCATGTGAGTTCACAGCTTCATTGAGTTAGCCAGTGTTTTATCATTCTTCTTTAACTGTGTGACAGACATATCTGATTTGGAAATGAGCAGACGCCTTAAGATCGTCTTTCTTTTTTAATGCTACAATAGCACCATTAAGAAAACATTATTTTCTGAGCTATCCAAATACCTTGACTGTCAGCTGGATTCATTTTGATACCTGTTCCTGTTTCAAAGGAGTTTGCAATTGATCCTGATGATTTTTTTTCTGCTATACTTATAATAAAAGAATTCAAACTGACATTCAGCTCAGAGCACTTCATTGTTATTATTAAATCTGATGTCGCTTTCACTTCTACTTTTTTCTATCTATTTTCCATTGATGTGAAGGAACAGAGATATCAGAATCAAATAATGCATCCTGTGTGAGTAATTTTATTTGGAGTAATACACTAATTTGAAATTCATATTAATTCATCTCTCTGAATGCTTGTGTGAGGTCCACTCTTAATGGTGGTATCTGTATCGTTAATAATGTGATTTTTAACTCTCCATGTAATTTTTTTCCCCTTATTCAGTAGACAAACTATTTCCACTTTGTTTCTCTGCTAAAGCTACACTTACAATTCCCTTAAGGCAATAACAATGCGTGCCCAGCTGAGCTGTAAGGAATGAGAGGTGGCATTGGCTGATAAAGGCGTGTGATGGGCAGGGTGTAAAAATTCAGATAAACAACAGCACAGATACCTGCTGAGCTGCAGCTTTTTTCTTAAACATTTTCTATATAGACATCATTCTAATATTGAAGGCTGTTTTTCAGATCATGTGTATAGTGATGTTTCCTTTGAACTCAATAAAGAAAATGCTAGTTGTTCAAGTAAGCAGAAAGAATAGGGGAGCCTAAAACCAACACTGCCTTGCTTGAAAGTCCAAGCGTGATGAAACCTCATCAGCACAAATCAGTGTGCACCCTGGAGTTTGTGGCTACTGAGTGCCTGTGAGCCACAAGGCAGGAAGAGGATCAGCCCTTATGCCAGGAGATTGGATCGGGTCTTGTACTGTGCTGTGTTAAGCATAGGAACTTGAGTAGCCTTTATAAGTTACTAAGATTCTATAACTTTTGCAATATTATATACCATAAACACTTATTGGAGATAGTATCTGGTTCTGTCTTAGATTTCTTGTTTAAACAGACATAGTGATCCACAGGGATTCTGAAACTGTGACATGGGGGCTAATTATAGAGCATAGGGAGAACACAAAAAAAAACAGGTTAATGAGCGGGAGTGCAGCCAGGTCACCTCCAGGCTTCTGCTACTGAGGTAGAGGAGCATTGCCAAGAAGGTGCATACCTTGTTTGGAAGTAATTGTCTCATGTGTGGCAGTGTCTATTCCATTCCTCCCTTCTCGTTCTTTACCATTTTTTTATTTTTTTTTTGTCCTTACAGTTTAGATATTACTTAATGCAGCTAGTTTTTGTGAGCAATTTTTTTCTGTTTCTCTACCAGCAAAGCTGGAGGTTATCTGGAATCTCAAGCCTATTTTCAGTTGTCAGTAGAGTGTCAAATAAATGAGAACTAAAAATCAGCAGGATTTTTCAGCACAAGTTACTGAGCTGTTTTGTCAGTCTGTCATTGTTAATACAGGTTTTAACTGATAGCACTTCATTATTTTCAGATTAATTTAAACATCTAGATTGTATTAGTTGAGTTTAAGTGGCAAATACTTAGACGCAGCTGAATGGTTGCTAAGCATACTTTGACAGGTCTGCATTGGTTGGAGGTAATTTTGACCATATCTTATTCAGTCATGGTTGGATTAGTGATGTTAATTGATGTCAGCATAGAAAAAACTAATCCTCAAATCCACAGATGTTTGTCATGAGATAAATGTATGTTTTGTCTCTGCCTAGTCCATAGCTTCAATGCAAGAAAGTGCAAAAGCTCTCTTCTGCTGCACTGTTCATACACATGTATAAACTAATGCCCCAGGAACATATTTCTGACATTCTAGTATGTGTTTTCTAACTGTGAAATTTAGGAGTATAAAAGAGGTGGTGTGAATCCTGTGTTTGTATAGACATCAAACATCATTCTCTGGATGGCTGGCTATAGCTGCTGAAAGCCTCGCTGTCAGCTCCTACAGCAGAAAGGGAAAATGCTAATATCATTTTAGTGTGTTGGAGACATAAGTCATGAAGTTTTACTTCCATTAGGATGGGAACATTATTAAGATTCTGAAATCACTAATGGTAGTCTAGAATTATAGTAGACTGTGCCTATAGCTTTGAAACGGCAGGAAAAAAAATAAAGATCTGCCTTGTTAAATTAGGACACCATTTAAAAAGACTGTACTATGTAATGCAATGAATTTAAAAAACCTTTACATCAGTTCATAGTAGCTGCAGAAACTAAGATGTCAGAGAAAGGTAGGGAACAGGATCTGTTTCCTAAATGTGACTGTAGGTCTGTGCAGGTTATGTGTCAGAATAACCTCAAGAAGTTCAACAAGGGAAAGTACAGCGTCCTGCACGTGGGGACCCCAAGCACCAGGACATGGCTTCTATCAGTTTGGGTAGGAACCAAACTTGCCTCTTTAGCTGTTTTCAGAACTCCTGGTTATGTCTGCAGCCTTCATGATCAGCTATCAGCCTCCTCACTGAATAACAGTGATTTATCTGCTCAGCCCTTTCCTTGGATGATGTGGTGTCAGGCATCACGCCAACATCTGTGGGTCAGATATGAGTGTAGGCCTTCCTAGTGGAGTTTGGATGAGCCTTTCACAGCTATGGAGACAAGGCAAGCTGTAAGTTCTGTTAAACATCTGCAAATCTGTAGCCTAGGACAATCAGGCTTTGTTCTTTGGTTAGTGAAACTACTGCTCATCTGAGGAGAGGGAGAAGGGAAAGGAAGAACACAGGATGATGCCACTTTACCGAGGGTAACTGAAAGGTTAAGTGGTGATTTTTGGTTGAAAGCTCCACGTGTGCGTTTCCTGGGGATACACATCAGTGAACCATTTTGCACAGATGAGAACTGAAGTGCTAACGTAGAACCTCTAGAGTTGTACACCTGTTTCAAACTCTCCTGCCTAATAATCGTATATATGAGTGACTGTTCAGAAGGTTTCCCATGTGTAAGAAATTCCATGAATATTTGATTTTTTTTTTTAGAGCTGATACTGTTATTATTGGGCAAAATGTAACCTCTGTGCATGTGGTATGTATATTGATCTGTTCCTAGGCAAGAAAGTACATTGAATCTCTTCCACATATGCCTCAACAGGATTTGAAAGCAGTGTTTCGTGGTGCCAATCCATTAGGTAAGAAAGTCAGAGTGATACAGCTTAAATCTCTCACTAACATATGAACCAAAGATTTCCTTTGCTATGTGATCCCATGTGATAATTGGCGCTGTGCAGAGAGCATTGTGTTTAACCTTTCATCCTGAGATGGTTTTTCCTTTGCGAAGTCCAAAGCTTTTGTTGTTGGAGATTACTGGAACCTCCTAATGGAAAAGTTGTTGGGTGAAAACAGACTGTGGGTGAAAAGCAAAAGCAAGCTATATATAGCAGGGGTAAATAAAAAAAGTCACAGGATCTGGACTAGAGGCATCAATTCTGGCTCAGGAAGGCCAGGAGCTGTGAATTGCTGGAGAGGGGGAGAATACACCAGGAAATAGAGCTGTTTGAATGTTCCTCTTGAGTATTGTTTCCTAAGAATTTATGAACCATTGTTGGACACAGGATACGGGGCTAGACTGGCTGTTGGTCTGATCTGGCACAGCTGTTATTGTGTTTAACCAATTGGATCTGCCTGTGCAAAAGAGATTTTCCTATGAATCATTTGTTGTGACATGGCAAACAAGATGCTCGAGTCATCTGAAACATCTTGCTACACTTCCTAGCTTGTTTCATCTGGTGCACATTCAAGAGTTGTACAGAGGGACAGATTTTGAGTTAAGATGTGGATTATTTATATTTGTTGAAATACAATTTTATTTTTACAAATATAACTAGTTGTGAATGCTTACCGAAAATGGAATCTGTTTGCATGTGTTCCATGAGTACATGCTATGCACTGATATTATAAAGGGAACTTGATGACAGTACATATATGAAGGCAGTAACAATTGTTTTATGTAATAATTTGTGGTAAACTATCCATATAAAGCCAATTTCAGTCTTAAAGATCTCTCTCATTTCTAATGATCTGCAGCTGTTGCCTTTAAACACCATTTACTTGGTGGTAGGTCCTGTAAAGTTCTTTTGGAGTTTTTGTCTGATGGGACCATGTTAAGCACCAGATGCACAACACTGGGGTATTTAACTTGAGGCACACAGGTGTTTTCACAGTCAAAGCTGTGAATGTCTGAAGAGGTGAGATAGATTATCATGAACCGATGCACACACCACAAGCAAACCAGAAGCTTCTTCCAACTGTGAAAGTTCTGCTCACAGTATAAAATCTTCAAAAATTGTTTGTTATATTGCTTAAGGTTTGTGGGTCTGGTTTTTTTCTTTTTTTTCCAATAATGTTAAATGAGCATAAGGTGAGAAGAGATAGCATGTGAACAGTTGCCTTCTCTTTCACTTCTAGATGGTCCCTTCTGGTTTTGATCCTAGTTTCTCTTGTTCCCGTAGCGGTAGACCTTCTTGAGAAGATGCTGATACTGGACAGTGACAAAAGAATTACTGCCTCGGCAGCCCTTGCACACCCATACTTTGTACAGTATCACGATCCGGATGACGAACCTGAGGCTGAGCTCTATGATGAGTCAATAGAGAATAAAGAGCGAACCATAGAAGAATGGAAAGGTAACAGATAACTGCACACAGGTGTTAACGTGGTCAGCAGAACAAAACCTGACTTCAGAAACAGTTTTGCTCTGTTTCTAACCAGAGCAGTTTTAACTCTTAAACTTCAGGGGTGCAAGGACAGGCCATGTGTGTTCTTGTGAGTAGAGGGGTGGAAGGGTTGGTAGTTTCTCTCTGGATTTTGCTCCCTTTCCCCATTATGCCTCTAACAACTCCTGACTAGGTTTCCTATAGCAAGTTTAATCTTAGCTAAAAGGTGACACTACTTACCGTGCAACCACTCATTTCATCTTCCTTTTAATCTGCTAGGCCAGATCCTCAGCTGAAGTAACAGTCTTGTAGTAGCTGATGCTATTTGGGGTTCTGGCCTTGCTTTCTTCAGAACCAGAAATGAAAAATTGCTATGTACGTGTGTATTTTAATAATCCTTCTTGATATAGCCAGCTAATTGGGAATAGATAAAGCATGCTGTTGATCCTGTTCAAACTGTGAGCAGCTCATCTTACTTTGGAGTGACAAAACCCAAACCCATTCTTGAGGAATACTGCAACAGTCTTTTTTCAGTAGTTAATTTCCTGCTTGCATCATGATCATATCGCAGTATAGCATCACAGAAATAATGTGGCTAAACAATAAGTTTGCAAGTATACTAAAAAGCACAATCCAATTTCATCAATGTCTGATGAGGATATATCATGCTAAAGCATCCTTACTCAACGTTTTAAATTGAGAAATGTTCTAGAAAACTAATTCTTCCAGTTTATTAATAAAGCCCTCTCCTTGGCTTAAGTTCATCAGTACATAATCTATGAAATAATTGCTTTCCTGTTTCTATTTCTATATTCTATAACTTCTTCTCCAGAAAAGTTTAATAACATATATGAGCATAGTAGCTTATTTTATGGTGAACATTACTGATCTCCTGTACCTTCCTCATGTCCTTGCACTGACTTTCTGCATTTTGTGCCACATTTTATCCTGGGCATTGAGGAGGTTGACTAAAACAAACACACCTTCAGGTTGCCCAGAGAGGTTGTGGATGCCCTGTCCCTGGAGGTGTTCAAGGCCAGATTGGATGGGGGCCCTGAGCAGCCTGGTCTAGTATTAACTGGGGAGGTTGGTGGCCCTGCATGTGGCAGGGGGGTTGGAGATTCATGATCCTTGAGGTCCCTTCCTACCTGGGTGTTTCTGTGATTCTGTGACACCTCAGAGAAAGATAGGAAATGGTTTGTGGATCTCTCTACAATAAAGCAGCCTCCTAGAGTCCTGAAAAGGCTTTCCAGAGTCCTGGAGGGTCTGTAGAAAAAATGAGGATCGAGTGGCATCATTTGCTCCTTACCCATGCTCTGTATGCAAAATCTGGCCGTGAGGAGGTGTGTTCGGTTTTCTTCACCAATGGATTTGCTTTCTGCTGCTTGTTAAGCTGACAGAGTCCTTAACAGGAAGGTTTAACAGTTTGCAATTCATTAAAGCTGATTTCTGTTTGTGATGGAACTTTGTTAAAACAACTTAAGAACAGTCTTAGCTTGACTCTGAACTGATGAGTTGGAGGTGAATTCTGTAGGAAGGGCAGCGTATCCTGCAGCAGTACCATATTCTTCTACATCGCTGTGCTTTGGGAACTACAGATGAAATTCCTTCTTTATACAGGAGAAAACCATTTCAAAACTATACTGGCATGGAACGTGCAGCTCTTCCTCCTGGCCACATTTTTAGCTTGGGAAAGTAAATATTTTCACGTACCATGTGGGGTACATCTAATAAGGTGACATTAAAGGTCACAATTTGCATAAAATGTTTGAATTGTTAATGAAATATTGACCCATTTTTCTCCAGACATCAGTGCCATATTTCTCCTTTTCTGTTCAAATTAAAAGCGGTGTTTGATCCCAAGGGGCACTGAGCAGCCAAAGCAAAATGAGATTTCAGACACTTTGTGTTACACGTTGGGCACTTAAGAGTTTCCTTGACCTCTGCTGCACAGCTGAGGTTTGCAGCCCCAGCTCATAGATTTTGTTCTGACATGTTTAATCAGTTAGAAGATATTTCAAAATGCAGAGGCCAAGAGAATGCCATTCAGCATTGAATGCTACGCACTATCGCTCCTTCGCTGCTGCTCCAGTTTCACATATCTCAGCATAACATCTGTACTTTCAGCTAAATAGGTGACAGGAGAACAGGAAAGAGTTTCATAAGCATGCAGTGCACAGCCAGCAGCATAATTTATAATACAGTCCCAGGCACCTGATCCGTGAAGGCACTGCCTTACTGACTTCTGCCAGGAGCTCCTTGACATACCTGGCTGCCTGTGACCAGGTGCTCTTCAGATGCTGCAGATGAAGCACTGAGTCACCCAACAAATGCTTCAGCCCCAGGGCTCTGTAGGTGGAATTTCTTCCAGGGGAATCCTTCAGTTGTTAGCAAAGCTCATTGGATGTGCTGTGCTACTGAATGCTGCGCAACTGGAGCATAGCCAAGACCCAACTGTAGGGTTTGTACACACTTCTTACAGTAGTGCTCAGTCCACTTTTATGTTTATTAGCTGTCAGATCCTGAAGTAACACATAGTTGGTCATTTATTTATGTATGGACTGGATTTGATCCTTAAAATACATTACCTGGCTTGAGAAAATCCATAGGAGGTGGCCACCGATGCTGTGCGTCATTGCTGCGCAAGGCACAAAGTATGACGTCAACATGAGAAGATAAAGGGCTCTTCCAGAAGCAGCATAAAACAGTCAATCTGTGTTTCTAGTTAGGCCTCTCTGGGTGAAAGTAGAATTGCTGCATGCTTGTAGGACAGAAGAAGAACATTTAGTCAGAGGATCTTCAAGTTAATCACAATAAAATACAAAAAAAGCCTAAACCACCTGGATTCAAAGGCATTAGTGCATTGTTGCACATGATTTATGTTGTAGGTAATTGATGGAAGATTATAAAGAACATTCTTTGTTCATTTTGCACATCTTAAAACCTGTTTTGGTGCTTTTGAAGATTCCAGTTTGCATTACATTTTGTCTTTTTTTACAGTAAGGTCATCTGACAGCGTAACTGATGGTTCCATTTCAGGGCCAGTTGTGATTCAGTAATTAGGTGAAGGGGACAGACACATTAATAGAATAATGTATCCAGGTTAGCAGAACTAGTGAATGCAGTCTGAGTTTTGATCTAGATAGATTGATGAGGCTGGAAATACAGACTACAAGTCACGCAGGCATTTAACAGTTCTGTCTGGAATATTTTTCTCATAAAGAGAAATTAGAGAAAGTCATGTAATTCTTCTCCCTCTCTTATCCCCTCTCTGCAGAACTTACCTATGAAGAAGTGATGAGCTTTAAACCACCTGACCTGAAAATGGATAGCCTGGAAATAGAACAGTGAACGCTGGCAGCTGTGCTTTGCCTTGCTGCACTACGAGGACTGTTAAAACAACCGTACAATTTAACCTGTGTTCAAATACACATAGATTTCACTATCCAAAGATGTGGAAAAGCAGATACGTTACACAGAAGCCAGATGTTGTCTGTTTCGAGGTTTTCTTACCTTGTAATATGAATGTACTCCCAGTTCATAAAGGGTGATAAAGAACTGCTCTGTTCTGACAAAATTATGCACTGAGTTCTGTTTAACGGTGTTTTCTGCATGTTTCATTTTATCAGTCGTATTGCCAAAATGAAGGTGATGTTTTTAATTAATTTCAAAGTTGTGCATTTAACGCATGAATGTATACAAACATAAACATAGAATTCCATACAGGCAATCCTTTTTTTTTTTTTCCTGGCGTTAGCCTGATTTTAACTGTCTGTTTTCATTTTATTTATAGTTAGTGCCTTTATGAAGAGAGGGTGTGGTAGCAAGATAGACAGAATATGCACACGTAGTCCTATCTGTGGTGGTCTGACAGATTTACTAGATGTCTCTCAAACAATCTAGCACCAGTTGGAAGTCAGTAAAAAATAAATCTTTGTCTTCTGTTGCCATTAAAGTGTCTGTCCTCGTTCTTTTATCTTTAATCTGCACAGTGCCAGTTTGTGAGCCCATTGTAATTCCCCATGGTGCTCCTAACCTCACCTGTGCCGGAGGGCTGCTGGTCTTGCACAGTTTACAGGAGGGTGCCCTGAAGGCACCCAGCACATTTCTGTGGTTTTCTGCAAACATCAGCCAAGGCTGTCACAGATCAAAGTGCAAGAATTCCAGTTCAACACTTGGAATTCAATATTCCTCATGATCTTATTTTCTTTCAATTGATCTGTGAGAAAGTAGTCTACAAAGTGCCATTGGAAGACAAGACAAAATGAGGTTTAAGAACAGATTTGTGAAAAACAAAGTAGCCATCTTGACAGATTTTCTTTTCAAGCAAAATGTGAAAGGCTTTCCAGCTTGGAAAATTAGAACGTACGTAATAAATTGCAGGGCAGACTGCATACTGAGTTGTATTAAATAATTTAATTTATTGCCTTTCCCAGTGGAAGGCATAATACTAAGACAGGAATATCCTTTGGCATAAGGCCTCCTGTGATTTAATGGCTGTCTTTCTCACGTACTAACAAGCTTGGTTGCACAAACTACTCAGTGTTCTTTTTTGTGTCTTGTTCTCATTGTCAGAGTCTCATTTTGGAGGTGGCTTTTTATATTACTTAGGTTTTCTTCAACTTTTGTCATTAAGATCTAGTTGTACAGCTATTACATGAGATAATGAATTCTACTGCCTTTGTTTACCTTCCTCTGTATCTTTTCTATGTAAAAAGATTTTTTCTTAATAAACAGATAGAAAAAGATCAAGTCCAAGAACTTTTATTTTTCAAAGACACTTGACGTAGCACTTTTGTCTTCTTTGAGAAATAGAAATCATCATTCCACCTAAAAACTTGCTCCTCATTTGTGCTTTACACCGGTAGATAGTGATAGGAAATGGGGAATGGTTTTAAACAAAAGGAAGGGAGATTTAGATGAGATGTCGGGGAAGTGCTTTACTAAGAGTGGTGAGGGGCTGGAACAGGCTGCCACAGAGGCTGTGGATGCCCCATCCCTGGAGGTATTCAAGGCCAGGTTGGGTGAGCCCGGGACAACCTGCTCTACTATGTGACCTAGAGGCTGGCAGCCCTTCCAGAAGTATGGGGGTTGGGACATGATGAGCCTTGGGGTCCCTTCCAACCCAAGCCATTCCATGATTCCATGACTCCTGTCAATGTTTGCCAATTACCTCTTACATTCAGTAGAACGCAGCAATCTGAATTCAGCTTTCTTCAGTGCACATTAAGCTGGCGTGGGTTTATTGAGAGTCCTTTGAATTGGCGTGTGGCTGTCATTACAGTGCCACCCTTTGGTGCTGCATGAGGCCTGTAATGGTTGTGCAGCAATCATCTGAATTTCACACTAAATGGGTGACAAGGTTATAAATCCTTAAATGATCTGTCTGGCTGTCTAGTGAAAATCATAACTCAGGCATGTCTCACGCATCTATTTTTTCATTTACTTGTTTACCACTTAACAGAGAAATAGTTTCGTGCTTTATTTTCTCTGAAATCCCATGCTGAGCTTCTTGCCTGATCTGCAACTGTTTTCCAGCTGGAAGGGCAAGGATGCAATAAATTTCATGAGAGCCCTCTGCATCGAACGATAATGAATTGAGTGTGGGATTTGTCCCATCATCTGTTTAATCTGGTTTCCTAGCTATGGAGGTCTCCAGCTCCAAATGTTTCCAAAGAATGTGTAGAACTCCGTGATAGGCAAATAGCAGATGATCTCTGCTTATTATATCTAGTTAAGTAGAAAGACAGAGTTTTTTTGTCACATCCAAAATTTGTTCTCCTGGCAACTCTGAGTCTTCCTTAACTGGGTAGTTAAAATATCAAACAAAATTATATTCTATTTTCCATTCACAGATGTGATTTTTTTTTTCTAGGAGATAAATTATGTAGGGAGAATACAGTCGTAGCCACATGCAAACTAATTAGAGGTGACAGTAATGGATAACAGGAGCTCAGCTATTTTTAATGAAGTACTGTCAAAACTCATAAATCATTATCTCATTGTAATGTCAAGAAAAATGATAGCATGAAAGACAATTTTTTCCTTCATTTCCCAAATCAAGGCCATTTCTTTGACCTCAAAAGCCACTAATTAACCTATTTTTCCTAGAACAGGTAACGGACTCCCTAGTGGAAATGCAGGAAGGCGGTGTGGTAAGTTTATCAGTTTACAGCAGCAGGACAGGGTAATTGGAAAGGCAGTAACCCTACTGAGACCAAAACAGGGAAGGCTTACTACTAATAATGCTTATCATCTGAACACAGATGGAAAAAAACATCTGTCCACCAACAGAAGCGGGGAAAAGAGGTAAATATCTCTATTAGGGTCTTTCACAGCTGTATGATCACTTAGAACTAAAAGCAGAGTTTGTAAAAAAAGTAAAATAAAAATAAGTATTTCATTTTGGCTTTTTGATAAAAAAATGTTTAATAAAGGGATTGTTTGCATGGCCTGAATTTTAACTGCAGGACTTTTTATAGTGGGTTTAACTGGGGTTTTTTTTTTCAGTCTCCTGACGCCATTTTTATTACAAGCACGATTTTGTATGTTCTCTAAATATTGCATGTACATCTGCAGAAAGTGCCCTACACTGTCCACAATAAATGGTCATAGAACTGCTTGAGTTGGAAGGGACCTTCAAAGGTCACCTAGTCCAATCTTCCTGCAACAAACAGGGACATCTACAGCTAGATCAGGTTGCTCAGAGCCCTGCCTGGCCTGTCCTTGAATTTTCCAGGGATGAGGCTTTCACTGCTTCTCCAGGCAATCTGTTCACCACTCTTATAATAAAAAACTTTTTCCTTGTATCCAGTCTAAATCTCTGCTTTTTTAGTTTGAAACCATTTCCCCTTATCATACTACAACAGACCTTGCTAAAGAGTCCATCCCCTTCTTTCTTACAGCCCCCGTTTAGATACTGAAGGCACTATTAGGTCGCCTTGGAGCCTTCTCCAGGCTGAAGCCCCATCTCTCTCAGTCTGTCTTCATAAAGGAGGTGTTCCATCTCTTGAATTGTTTTTGTGGCTTATCTCTGAATGTGCTCCATGTCTTTCCTCTGCTGAGGACTCCACATCTGGACACAGAACTTCAGATGAGGTCTCACCAGCACAGGATCACCTCACTTGCCCCAGTGGCCATGCTTCTTTTGATGCAGCCCAGGATCCTGTTGGCTTTCTGAGCTAAGAGGACACATTGCTGGCTCGTGTCCAGCCTGCCGTTCACCAGTACTCCCAGGTCCCTTTCAGCAGGGCTGTGCTCTCTATCCTTCCATCCCCAAGCCTGTACTGATAGTGGGGGTTACCATAATCCAGATGCAAGACCTTGCACTTGGATTCACTGAACCTCACGAGGTTCATCTGGCTCACTGCTCAAGCCAGTTCAGGACTCTCAGGCATCCTGTCCTTCAGGCATGTTGACTGCACCACACAGCTCGGTGTCATCCAAGGGTGCACTCCATCTCAATGTCATTCATGAAGTTATTAAAGAGCATTGGTGCTGAGGGAAACTACTCATCAGTGATATCCAGACGGACCATTAACCACTGATCACCAATCTCTGCGTACAATCTTGCAAACCAATTCCTCATTCGTCAAATAGACAACCCATAAATCTGTATCTTTCCAATTTGGAGTGAAGGATGCTGTGGGCTGCCGTGTCAAAGGCCTGACTGAAGTCCAGATGGATGCCATCAGTGGTTCTTCCCCTGTCCACTGATGCAGTTATGCCATTACAGAAGGCCACGAGGTTGGTCAGGCAGGACTTGCCTTTGGTGCTGCTTATAACTGATGGTGCTCGTTATCCCTGACCTGTAAAGCACAGAATTAATTCTCAGCAAAACACGTCTAAACAACACAGCTGTGCCTCAGCTACTCACATTTCCACTGAAGGAAAACATCACAACCCTCTGAGGGCTCTCACTGGTTAATTACTGTCATTGTTAGCAATTTACTTCTAATCTAAATTTACCTAATTTTGGCTCTCAGTCACTAGAGCTTGTTATCTTGCTACCTACTAAACTGAAATTACCTCTAGTATTTATTATCTCACTCTAATCAGTGTTAAGTGCAACTCCAAGCCTAGTAATTTTGTCATTGGAAGTAGAAGGTCTTGCAAAAGGAAAAACAAGCCTATACCATGCAGCTCAATCTTTTGACATGCTCAGGTGTAGGCTGCATGTCTTTTACAGTCTGCATCTTCATTTTTAAGATACCTCAGCAACACTTCTAATTTACAAATGCACCAATAGAAAAACGGGATGGTTTAGGGGAAAAGCTCAGCTGTCATTTGCCATAACACACAGAATTTCCTTCTCCCACTACTTGTGGCCACAAAAGTAGGAAACAGCAGAGTTACTGCTTTAGGAACTTATAGAAAAAAGGTCAAATAGAAAACCAGGTAATCAACAGTGTAAACCAGGTAATCAAGGTAAATGAAAAAACACCATGCAACAGTAGGTCAAGATCTATCAATTAGACAGCACTGTTGCAGAATTCCCATTAATGCTCTTAGTATGTTTATATTTGGCACAAAAGATGAAAGGAAAAGAGGAGGTGGTTCAGTTCACTGCAAGGTCAGACACAGAGAGTGAGCACTCACCCCAGGAATGGGGGAGGCAGCTGTTTCAAGGACAGAATGCTGGCAAAAAAAAATACATTTGGCAGAGGTGGGGAGCATCAATACAAAAGCCACTTCCTTCCTTCTTCCTGTCACATGTGCTCCTGGATAATAAAGACCATGCAGACATCCACCTCTCCAACACTCACAACCTGCTCAGAGATGAATCTATTACAAATTACACTATTTAAATGCAGTGAACTACTTAACTAGCATCCTTAGTTCCAACTGTAATTGCTGGAATGGCTCAGGAATCCCTGACGGGTGAGCAGTTGGAAAGATTTAGTTCTTGCTAAAAGAGAAATACACTGCAAGTTGCATAAAACTATCTCTTTTGTTAGTAGCAAAAAGGAATTCAGGCAAGGCAAGCTCAGTCTCACTGGCTTTATTTGAATATGGCTTTATAAGAATTAAGGGTAGCACCCCTGCTCCTCTTTGAAGGAGCTGCTCGTTTCTCTTGCATATGAACCATGCTGCCAGTGTCTGCAGATACAGTGCAGCCCCCTAAAGCTGCTTCTCAGGAAATCAGCATGCTCTTGCAAAGCCTGCCTACCAAGTGGCATTCATTTATCAGTCTTTGACATTGATTGGTTTTCAGCTCTGAGTGCTATGCGCATTATTAAACGGGACCCATGTAAGTAGGCAAAGACAAAAGCACGAGGATTTTATGTGACTAGTATCAAGAGGGTCAGAAAGCTGCATTAATGTAGCTGCCATCGACCTTGCTGCTGCTGTATGAAGTGTAGAGCTGATATGCATAAAAAGGTCTAAGTTAAGGGGGGATATCTTGTGAGCTTCCTACACTAATGCTGATCTTCTAACAATCCATTGTACAGAAAATCTCTGCATAATGAACAAAGCTGTTCAATTAGGCTTCAATCCTCCATGCATACAGATGCTTCATTTTGCACTCGCATAGTCCCTCAGCTTCAATTATTGTCACCAATTAACATGTGCAGTTATACAGAGGTTTTAGCTGCTCCTTTTAGGTTCCAGATTGATCACAAAGGATAGTGAATGCAGTAAATAATGAATCTCAGTGGCAGCCATGAGACAAATAGACATTACGCCTGCCATAACTGGCAGCCTCCACTGAGCCATACCTTGCCCCTCATACAATAATGCCCTCTAGATTAGCACTAAGATATATTCCTATTTCATACTCACTTTGTTATAGAGCCCAAAGGCTCAAACCAAGAACAAACCCCAGTCATGTTTCACTCTGTGCAGAAACTACACAACGTGTCCTGCCCAGCCTTCTCATCAGGCTGAAATGGAAAAGCAACAAATGGCCCCAACATCAAGGGTGATGGAAAACACGGGTAAGAGTGGCACTAAGAGTGGTGACATAAGCAGGTGATAGCACAGCTATGTAGTGACAAATAGGTTACGCTTTCAGCTATATCCAGTAATGCCCTTTTTGTATGATTTTTGCATCAGAGATGGAAAACTCTTCAAGAGTAATTTTTCCTCTGCACAATAGGATCTTGGGATAATAATCTGTGATAGTTTAAAAACACCACTGCTTCCTTCTGACCTCCCAAATTCAGACACAAACCCAGACTCCCCACACATCAGTTTATGGCAGGAATCAGTAAGAAGAGGAAGGCCTTTAGGCAGGATTTGGGGACAGAGTCATGAGAGCAAGCAGTTGTTCAATACATACCCATCTGCTATGTCTACACATGGCTTTGCTTCTTTCATTCCACTTCCAGAATGCAGAGATACCATTACAGGTTGGGGGATGAGCTGCTGGAGGGGAGCTCTGCGGAAAGGGACCTGGGTGTCCTGGTGGATGACAGGATGGCCATGAGCCAGCAGTGTGCCCTTGTGGCCAAAAAGGCCAATGGCTTACTGGGGTGCATTAAAAAGAGCGTGGCCAGCAGGTCAAAGGAGGTGATCCTCCCCCTCTACTCTGCCCTGGTAAGACCTCATCTGGAGTACTGCGTCCAGTTCTGGGCTCCCCAGTACAAAAAAGACAGGGATCTCTTGGAAAGAGTCCAGTGGAGGGCCACAAAGATGGTGAAGGGCCTGGAGCATCTCTCCTATGAGGAAAGCCTGAGTGAACTGGGTCTGTTCAGCCTTGAGAAACGAAGAGTGAGAGGGGACCTGATCCAGGTCTATAAATATCTAAGGTGTGGGGGCCATAGTGGTGAGGCCAGTCTCTTTTCAGTGGTGAGTGGAGACAGGACAAGGGGAAATGGCCAGAAACTGCAGCATAGGAAGTTCCGCACAAATGTGCGCAAGAACTTCTTTACAGTGAGGTGACGGAGCACTGGAACAGGCTGCCCAGGGAGGTGGTGGAGTCTCCTTCTCTGGAGATGTTCAAGACCTGCCTGGATGCCGACCTGTGCGACCTGCTGTAGGGAACCTGCTTTGGCAGGGGGGTTGGACTCAATGATCTCTGGAGGTCCCTTCCAACCCCTACAATTCTGTGATTCTGTGATTCTGTGATAAATGGGGCAGGAAATACTGTTGCAACACCTCACTCAACATCTTGAACAAATGAAATGCCTAACCAAAGAAAATAAAAATAAAAAACACCTAGGTAGTACCTAACTATTCCCATCAGCTTATTGCAGAGCATTCTCACAGCATGGCTGAGCAGCTCCCCTCTGTGCCGCATACAGTGGAATTCAAGCACCCTGTTCAGGGGTCAGAGAAACAACCTCTGAATAGTTGCAAAACATTTGGCAACAGCTCCACGAGGAAGGGTGTGGACACGATAGCACAGGAACACTGTCAGAGGAAAACTGACATTTTTGTTTCAGCTTTATTTCTCCTTGCAATAAATGAAAATTGATTTGCTTCTTCCACAGCAACAAACATGAATAGGCAAGATCAGACTACTTTAAAAAGAGGACTGGCTGTTGGCCCACGCTCTTCTGCCCTGACAAACTGCCACCTTGTCACCATTAATAGAGAGTTTGTCCTGAGCAGTTATCATGCAGCTCCCTCACCAGGCTGTGTAATTTCTCTTCCTCTGCAGAACTCCTCAGGAAGACGTGGTTAGCTTCTCTACTACTGTCTCACAGAACTGCTTCTCCAGCACTGAAGTCTCAGGTCCTGTCTGGAGCGTGAACTGAGTTATTAGTCCCTGGAGAGATCATAAAGTGTAATCTCTGTACACATGTGTACCGTGTACACTACTGTACACATCCTATTTACCACGTGTTTTGCAGCTGATGGCAACCTTACAGCAATGAAAGATGCTAAAAAAAACAAAACAAAAACTTCTCCACAGTAACAATCTTCCCAATGTTCCCCTCACAGGTTGGGCATTAAGTGTGTGTTTTGCATCGTAATATTATTTATTACCTTTTATTCATGATGTCTGAGAAACCTTTTGTTCCATTATCTTTACATTAAAAGTATGCCAAAAACAGACATATGATAGCATTTGTTTTTCAATTAGCCCTTCCCAGCAATACTGCCTAGGCCAAGATATGGCTGTAGTATCACACCAGTGTGACTGCAACAGATTGTCTTCAGGAAAATACCATATACTCCATCCAACCAAGCCCAGCAGGTCACCAAGACTTTGCATTTTGTGACTCTGCTGTAAGATTTGCCAGCTGTGAATGGATCCAAGCTACTACATGTTAAATAATGGACAGGCTCAACACCCAGTAACAGGTACTGCTGCTTAGCTCTCACGTGGCCCATACCATATCCAGCCATCATCTGAATGTCAAACACTGCAAAAAAAGCGATGTTGGAAATTTAATAAACAAATTGGGGATGGTTGGGATGGTTGATCTGAAAAACAAATGTGTACAATTGATCTGACAGAAGCCCAGCACTACCTGCTGAGCGCCAGAAGGCTGCTTTCTGTTCTCACTAACATAGCTAAGTCAAACGGGTCACCTATCGGCAGAGAGCAGTACTGGAGATCGCCCGCGCGGTGGAAGGATGTGAGTTTGTACCTGACACGTCAGTAGTGAGAGGAAGAGGGCAGGGCTGCTCGCCCGAACTGAGCAGACACACAGCACGGCCAGATCGCCCCTCTCCAGATAAGCCACAAACTGAACTCTAGCAACAGCAAGCCTGAATTGCCTAACCTCAGCAACATTGCTCAGGGCTGAAGTCAGACCACACAAAGGGCAAGAATTCTAGTTATACACGCACAGAGAAAATATAGAACATATTAAAAAGAAGGCACAAGCCTTAAATGTGCCGACCAGGACAATTTGCTGCGGAAATACAGCACCATGAAAGATTTAAGCAGCCATTTGAGCCGCTTCATACCACTCCAGAGATGCATGGACCACTTGCACATCCACTGCCTCCTGCCTGCAGACACCCCTGCGCATGCAGAGCTGCAGGCAGCAGCGGTCGCACAGCCCCATCCTGGCAGGAGGACTGCCTGTAATTCTCATTTCTTCCTCTTTCCATTTCTATTTTTTACTTTGTATCCCTTAACACTTCAGTGTAAAAGTCAGCAAAGTTTTACCACATCCAAAGCACTGATGCAAGAGTGCAGACTGCAAGAGCCACACCACAGGACCACAGAATGGGTTGGAGGGAATCTCAAAGACCATCTACTGCCAATCCCCTGCCATGGGCAGAGCCACTCAGCAGCTCAGGTGCCCATCCAGCCCAGCCCTGAGTGTCTCCAGGGATGGGGCACTCACAGCTTCTTGATGCAGTTGTGCCAGTGCCTCACTGCCCACTGGGTAAAGCATTTCCTTCGAATACCTAACCTAAATTTCTCCTCTTGTAGTTTAAAGCCATTCCCCTTGTTGTATTGCTATCAGAGCGTGTAAAATGTCATTCCTCCTCCCATTTATAAGCTCCCTTCAAGTTCTGGAAGGCTGCAGTAAGGTCTCCCCGGAGCCTTCTCTTCTCCAGGCTGAACAAGCCCATGGTGGGCACTCACCCAGATGAAGGCCGGGGTGTGCTTGTGCTCAGCTCCACAGTAAGGATTCTCAGTTTACCCCAGCAGCACAATACCCAGCACAGCACACAGGACCTGCACAGGGCCCTGGTGTCACCACGCAGCCATCCATCTGCACTCCTGTCAGCTCCCACTCCCACCTCCCATTTCCAAGGCTGATTTCATAGGACAGGGGAGATATCTTGAGCTTTGCAGGACAATAAAGCACACATCACCCACCAGATCCATAAACACACGGCAGCATGCAAGCGAGTCATAAGGAACAGATGGATTTTGAGCGTGTCTTGGTGCGGCAGAAGCCTCACACCTTTTTCTCTGCACGGCGCTGGATGAGGCTGAGCGGCCACGGCCGCATCTCAGCTCGCCGAGCTTCTCGCTCCGCCGTGTCGGCGCTATGAGGGAGCTGCCCTCGCCATCCACGCAGGCAGCGGCACGGCTTCGGCCACCCTGCTGCGGGGAGAGGGGCGGAAAGCAGAAGCGCTGGAGGCGCTGAGCCTCTGGAAGAGCTAACGCGGCGTACGCAGCACGGGCGGCGTGAGGGAAATGCCGGGAGCAGCACTGCCACGCACCGTTCCTCCCGTGCCCAGCACCTGCCGGGTCGCCGCCTTTCCACGCGGACAGCCCGCCGGAGCTCAAGAGCGGGCAGGGCGCCGGGCCGGGCGGTGCCCCCAGCGGAGCGCGGCGCTGCCGGGGGAGCGGGGCAGGGAGCGGGGCAGGGGCAGGGGCGGGCGAGAGGGAGGGAGCGAGGCGCGGAGGGAGCGCGGCCAAGCCCGGCCCCTCGGCTCGCTCAGCCCGGCCCGGCGCTCGGCGCTCCCCCCGGGCTCTTTGTTGGAGGTGGCGGCAGGAGCCGCGCGCTATGTCCTCCCCCAAGAACGGCTTCTACCGGCAGGAGATCACCAAAACTCTCTGGGAAGTGCGGGACCGCTACCGGGACCTGCAGCTCGTGGGCTCCGGCGCCTACGGAACCGTCTGGTGAGCGGGAAGGGGTCGGGCTGCGGCTGCCCCGGGGAGGAGGGCGCACCCCGGGACCGGGGGCGGTCGAGATGGCGGCTCGGCGGGGCGCAGCCCGGGGTCGGCGGGACGCGGCGCTTTCGCTTTCCTCCCGACCAACTTTCTCCGGCGGCCGTTCCGAGCCGGGCTGCGCTGCCAGGGCCGGGGGGACTGAGGAGCGCCGGCCCCACCCGCACCTGGGCGGCCCCGTCCCGCGGAGAGCCGGGCGGGGGAGCGGGGGTCCGCCCGTGCGTGGTTGGGAACGCGCTCCGAGCCGCGCGTGTCCCCATCCCGGGCTCCACCCTGGAGCGGGACGCCTGGCTTGGGATCGTTTTTCTGTGCCGGGCACGCCGCTGGCAGGGCGAGGCAGCAGAGAGCGGCGGTGCCGCTCCGCCCGCACTCACAAGGCGCTGTTCTGCTCCCCTGAAGCTCCGCTGTGGATGGAAGAAGCGGCACCAAAGTGGCCATTAAGAAGCTGTACCGCCCCTTTCAGTCCCAGATCCTTGCCAAGAGAGCCTACCGAGAGCTGCGCCTCCTGAAGCACATGAAGCACGAAAACGTGAGTTCAGTCTTCGCAGAGCTTACGTGCACTGAAAAAGAAAAGAACTGGGCAAGCTGATGTGCAGCTGTAGCGTTCAGGGCTCTTTGACGAGACCTGTGGTCTGTCCTTCGTCTGCCTGTCCCTGATCTGCAAACGTCAGCTCACACATGGGAGTCTCCTGTGAGAAGCACATCTTGCTGTCCTGTAGGAAAGGTTGGGTGGGAAGGTTTAGAACTGCAGTGGAATTTGTGCTTCAGACCAGTGAGAGAGATGGAGTGCCCAGAAATTCCATCCTCGTCATTACATCCCTGTGAGGTACAGGAGGATGGGTCTGTGCTGTGCATCCCACACGGCAGCATCTGAAAAGTGAAACAGGTTTTCAGAACTTGCTGAAGGTGGGCATGTTGTGCATGCATACCTATTTGGGGGAGTAGGGCTTTCTTTATCTTTCATGAAGTATTTGGAAGTGTTGGGTTTGTGCTAATAGGAAACAGGGAATGTTTGGGAATAACTAAGCAAAGTGCTTTACTGGAAAGTAAAGAATAAGATACAGCACTCGGCACAGATTCCCACACAGTACAAAAGAAGAACAGCTGTAGGAAGAAGTGTTGAAAGTGTGATTAAATTGTTTATCCTGAACAGATCTGTGTGAAAACTTTTGTGGAGTTGAAGCGTGAGGAGAGGCTCCCATGGTGGGCTGGGGGGATCGGAGTAGTGGCTTTAAATGCTTTAAAATGAAGGAGAAAAAAAAAAAGGAAAGATTGGGGGTAGTGGCTTATTAAAATGATACATCGGAGTCTGTTTTCAAGTAATAATGTGGGAGATTAATGTGGGAGGCTGGAGCATTTTTCCTTCATATAGCCTTCATGATGGCAAGCTACATGATGGAGAGTGAGGATGAGAGAAACTGGTGCTAACAGTAACCTATCATTGTCATTTGACATTATGGGATTAACAGTCTGGGTACCAGTGTTGTCTAGGTTTGTTTTGAACAATAATCAGTGGGATATCTGGACTGTCCAGAAGAAGAAGGCCTTTTGTAGGCTTAAAGCTTTTCGTGCCTCTTAACCTTTTGGCCTAAATCTTTTAGCATATTTCCTCATTTTACTTGAAGTAACAGCTTTTTAACCACTATTGTACATATCAAAGACTTAATTTTTGCAGGGATCTTCCATGTCATACATGGGCTTTCATACTCTCTGCATTTTCTCCACTGAATATCTGGGAGCAGTTAGCTCCTGCAGTCAAAAGCTCTTAACGGTGTCCAGAGTTTGCAAACTGTCTTCCGTTTCCCAGAGTAATGCGTTGGGTTGCATTTTCCACTTATGTAGGCCCTTCAGGACAGCACTCTGGAACCTCACCACATGCTTGTTGGATGACTACAGAATACACACAGAAGTGCTCACTGTGGAGTGTGAGTGCCATTTGTAACAGGTACAAATCAGTATACATGGAGGAAGGGTATAATATGTAACATATAGTCTTAGAAAACAATTTGGGCCACAGAAGGATAAATCTGGTCTAGGTGCTAAGGAAAAAAATTGCCACAAATTATGGTATTTACTCATTAAAGATCAATGACCAAATAAATGATCATGCAAGGAATGTGTGGACACTGGGGAGGCAGACACTGACCCTCGCCCATCCAGTATAAGGCTGAAGGGGCATTACAGCTCTTCATGAGGATTTCCATCCACGATTCCAGTCCCATACCATTCATTTCACCCACTGTGAATTAGGACTGGCAGCAAAGCCTTTCAGGATTTCTAGCCCTCATGCTGACCTCGGGATACTCTTTAAACATTCCTCCCATCCCAAATTAGACCAGAGTGGCAGTAGCACTCCTCATCAGGATTTTCAGGCCTCCCCCCGATCTTTGATCTGCTGCAGTTCTGTCAAAGAGCCTCTTTCTTTGCACATTGTTGTTCCTTTCATCTGTTGTCATTGCCTTTGGATAGAGCATGTCTGCCCTTCGTAGCTTTCAAGGGAGCGTTATGATGCGTATGCATCAATGTGTTATCATAGTTTATTTAACCTTATGATGCATTCAGAATAATAGAAGAAAATAGTCTGACACGCCACAGTAAAAACTGGCATCTCTGACCCTCCATTAAGAGCACAGGAGACATCATAAACCTGTGCTACAGTTCTTCATTGTGTCCTGCTAGAGTGAAGAAAACACCTGCTCGATACCCTGGATTACCTCTATTATTGATCCTTCGAAGAGTACGCTCATTTACTTAGTGTGGAAGTGTCGTAGGATGTCCTGTTATCCTACAGGATGAACGTAAATATGGGAGTCATCTCACTTAATTTTACTGAAGCTGTGTTTTACCTTGTAGGAGAACTAACTCCCAGTCATTTTGCTCATCTATTCAGGCATTTTCAGGAGTAGGCAATAGCGGTTGCAATGTACGATTAACAAACATACAATTAGCAGAGTGGCGTGGTTGGGATGGTATTCTATATGTTTCATAATTAGAAAGATTATCGCAGTGGAGAGAGAGAATCAAAAATAAATGGAATGCTCACTCGTGTCCTAGGCTTGCAGTAGAAAACTCCAAAGGGAGCCATCTCCAGAAAGAGATCCTTCCCCCATGGCAGTCAGGCCTTAAATGGGGTCTAGGAGAGGTGCAACCGCCTTCCACCCCTTCTGGTCACACAGCTGAATCGCCTTCACCTGTGCTCCCATGGCTGAGCCAGTCTTTGCCTCAGGTGGTCAATCAGTGGCTCAGGCTGTGACTCAAGAGTTCCCATACATTGCAGAGATGACTATCTCTTCATTTTATATGCCAAATCATTATGGTCTCTGATGGCTTTCTAGGTGCGCGTAACTGAAATGTAACAAGGAATATTTCTGTGTAAGCCATGCTAATTTGTAACATGGAACTTCTCTTCATCCCTTAGAAAACAAATCCATGAGGGAAGTGGTGTTGAGGACCATGGGGTAGAAGCCATCTATCAAGAGAGTGAGACCTGTCTCTGATGGCACTCAGATCTGTCTTTTGATGGATGTTATAGTCTGAGAGAATTTGGGATGTTTCACAAGCATCGTAAGTTACTTCTATTGCCTAAGAAGTAATTTAACCCAGATATTAGATATTGCCTTAGATATTGCCAAAAAGGAAAGTTAGCTTCCAGCAAGATAAGTTGCTGGATCACTTTGTAGCTGTATAAACAGATACTCTGGCAGAAAAGAGGAAGTGGTGTGAAAATGGGGAATACAAGCAGCTAAGCAGAATGAAAAGCATACTGTGTTTTTTGCTTTTCTTCATTTATTCATGCTATCTCCCACTACAGATCTTGGTTGTTTCTTTGTCACCCACTGCATCATGTAGAAGACCAGGCTGCTTAGCTTTTGGAAGTTTTTTTGGGTAGTGCTGCTTTTGTTCCCTGCCTTTTTACATTTTGAGTTCATTGAGGACCCTTAAAATTATCTATTATGGCTTTGACTTAAAACCAGAAAGAGAATGAAAACAGTGCCTGTGTGCCAGCATACGTTTGTATCTATATATAAGCATAAGCACACATGATAATTCTGACCCAGTTGTACCAATTTAAATTCTGAATATGCTTTTGGAAGAAGATTTTTGACAGATGCCCATTAAACATCTCTTTAAGTTGAGTCAGTTAATATTCTACAGATGTCTTCCTGGAAACCTACTAAGAGTCAGCTGCAGTATTTGTTTAAAGGTACTCTATATATTACTCTCTCAGTCATCTCTCTGTGAGAACATTACTCTCTGGTGAATTCCAACATCTCAAGAACAATGTATGTTTTACATTAGGAGAACCATTTAGTGTTTTTCCCCCTTTGGAAGGAGCTCAGGTATCCAACAGACACCAAATCAGCTCTCGCTCTACAGCTACGCTTCTGAGGATGATGATGCAGGCCTTCCATTTCAGGTTAGCTGATGCTTAATTATCTTGAATTCTTAATTATGAAAAAAGTGAGGTCTTTTGGCATCAGCCAAGGGGCAACATTTTTTCAGAGAAAATGCTAGGAAGGTATGCTCCTACCTGAGGAGATCTTCAGACTGTCACTTTTGCAGCTCATCTGGCCTGGCGTGAGCATTAGAAGAGGAAGTATACTAAGTCAATCCAAGAAGGGAGTTACAGGTGAGCAGTGCCTTTACACAGATGTGTGGTGCCACTGTGAATGCTCACTGCATTGGATTTCCTGCAGGAAACCCTGTAGGACTGCATCAGCTGAAAATTCACATCCTTTAAGGAGATAAGTGCCATAAAATGCAAATTGTGAATCCTGTCTGAAAGTGGCAAATCTGCTTTCAGATTGCAAGTGAGGCATGGCTGTATGATTTACTGCTGTCAAAATGTTGTAGGGCAGTAACACTCATGGTGCTTTTTCTGCATGCTGAAAGCTACAAACAGCAAGGCAGCTAACACAACACCAAGTACTGAAAGAAGTGACTCCAGGAGCTGCTGGTAAATCAACATGGCAATACCAGTCATCACACGTTGGGCTTGTTTTTACAAACCTACCTGGTAGGTGTTTTATCCAGGCTGAACGTCAGCCATCACCTGTTTCTTCACACCCAGCCTTAGACAGTAATAAAGCAGACGAATGTGCTTAGTCAAATAAAACATGGTGAGGACAGTGCTGAAACCCAAACCTTTTTGTTTTAGGATTTTTGCTCACTCCAGGGTGTAAGTCTAAAGCATTTGAGTCTGTTGAGTGTTGTGTATAGGTCTCTAGCAGAGCGTGGCTTGTGAGACATGGCTGGTGTCTGTGGATGTGCTGCCATTTCCATCTCTCCTTGAGGTGCAGCAGAGGTAACCCTGGGTGGAATGGAAGTGACTGCAGCACGAGCCTTGTGCTGTGGGTTACAATTATAAAAAGATTGAGGCTTCTTAGCATAGTTGAAAGGACACCGGTGCCCTGTGATGTGGAAGAGCACAACAACATGAAGTTGAAGCTAACACTGCAGAAAATGTAATGCAGTATGATATATAGTTCAATATACCCCAGCAGGGCTCTCTTAAAAAATGTATTTGCAGCTTCAGTGCCAGAGCTGCTCAGCTTCGCTGTGTGTTCATGCGTAACATCCATGGGATAAAGAAGCACTTACTGCATGAAAGACATAGCCTGCATTACTTATTAATTTATAGCAGATCACGTCTTTCATTTGCGTACTGCTGCTTGCATCAGAAATTTCCTTTACAGAAATCCAGTGAAACGGTCCTTGAAAATACATGAATGTGCATGGGAGCATATGGATAAGGAGCTCCTCGCTGCTGTGTGCCCGTGGTAGAATTGTGTTTGGAACAGGAGATATCTGAGAAGAGGAGGGTGGTAGCCACCTTACAAACACAGCTGTTATTTGCTGCCAGTAATTAAAACTGATCAGAATGATCAGTGTAAATGTCTTGTGCAGGGGAATGATAGAGATTAAAAATAAGGCTGGAGCCACTGGAGCGGCTTCCTGGGAGAAGGACGCAGTCAGCAGTGTACAGAGCATGAACATCCTCACCTGAAACAAGTAGGAGCAGCAGAAGTGTAGTTCTGCAGCTGGTTGGCATTGCTTTGCAGGAAGATGGGAGAGGCACACATCAAGCTCTGTCCTTAGACATGCTTTGTAACAAGCAAGGAAGGTACTGCAGGGGAGCTGATGAAAATCCAACCTGTTTTTCAGTGAGATCACAGAATCACAGAATCACCCGGGTTGGAAGGGACCTCAAGGATCATGTAGTTCCAACCCCCCTGCCTAGCAGGGCCACCAAACATTCAGATCAGGTTGCCCAGGACCCCGTCCAACCTGGCCTTAAACATGATGGGCAGAATGGGCAGAAGTAATCAAAATGCATCCTTTGTGGGGGCTTCATTCTTGAAATCACTTCCTGGCAGAGTTTGTAGGGAAAAAATGTGGTCACGGCTCCTGGCAGTTTCTACAGATGCTTTTCATCACCATCCCTGGGTGCAGGGAGTTCGTTCCTTATCGGAGGGGAAGAACACGGCTGCAGGACGCTTCACAATACCTCAGCTTTCATAGAGAACACGCTATGAACAAGAGATGATTCTTGTGATGCGTGTTTTGTGGTGGCTTCATTCTGTGCTGGGGCAGTATCTTTAAGCACCACGAAGTTTTTGCAAATACTGTATTTAATTGGGAGAAGAGGGCATTTTAGACAGACTTGGGATTTTCCACAGTACGGAAAAGGGAGTTTCCTGTATTCTGTCCAGTTCTTTTCCTTTTCCTGGAGAAGTATCTGGAGATGTATCTTCCTGGGAAGACTTATTTCATTCTGTGCCTCCTTGCTCTTAGCATATCTGCAGAAAGCAGTGGTCTGGGTGGAAATACTAAATGACTCTGTTCCAGGGAAGAAAGATCACCCCAAAGCACAACTGTTTCATAAGGATCACCAAGAGGAAGCAATTGGGCCCCTTTTATTTTTAAATCAATTAACTATTAACATGACATATATTGGGCACTAACGTGGATCTCAGGTTTTTCAGAAAACTTGCTTTGGAGAACAAGAAAAGGAGCATTGTGAAACACTTGGCATGTTAGAAGAGCTTTCTGTGTTAGTTTTTAAAATTCCCTCCAGTGGGAGCAGTGCTGGTCTCTGTGGTATTCCTCACATCACGGGGTTTGCAACAACGCAGGCCAACGGTACGCTCGTCTCCGGAGGTTTGCAGCCTCCCTTGGAATCAGTAGTTTGTGCCTCAGGAAGCATAAAGTAACGATGGGACACAGTTTAATGGAGAAGTAAGATTTTGGTGTGGTTCACGGAATGATTTTTGTTCTGCTGTTCTCTTTATTGAAACGTGTTCTTGTGTTGACAGTGGGGGCCTGATAACATTTTGTTATGATGAGATGGAAGCAGTGCAGCATCCTTATCACTTCATCTTCTGCTCCATCAGCTCTGTCTGTGGGTTTGTCCCCCGTGGGTCACTGCTGCATTCTGGCATCACAGAGTTTATCTTCAGTATGTTTTGTGTTGGTGAGGCAGATAGCTTAGGTGAATGAAGGCATAGAAATACCTCCTTGGAGAGAACAAGCAGGACTTCTGGAAAAGTGGGAGGAGAGGAAGAAACGCTGAAGATGTCACTTCAGAGAATAACCAAATCCTCTGTGGGTGTAGTCACTGTTTTATGGTAGTCCCATTATTCTGAATGAGTTTCAGATAACGGTCCTCAGAAAAATATTACTAGCTATTTTTTCTAAGATACATTTGGCTACAAAGATGAGGGATTGTGAGGTTTCTGTCCTCATCTAAGCCTTGCAATGTTGTGATAACACCCAGTCTAAGTGTGGTACCTCCCTTGAATGTGGAAGGGATAAAAATAGGTGCACAAAGGATGTCATCAGTGTTGGTTGCGTTTATTTAAACCTTTGAATAAAGGAAGTTGTCCTTCCTTTCTTTCTTTTTTTCCCTGCATTTCTGCTCTTTCTGCATTTGTCTTTACTTCCACATAATTTGCTATGCTAATATGCTAATAATGTCCCAAATCCATCCTGATTGTTATCCAGGTGAATTGTGCAGTAATTTCAGTACTTTGATGGTAACATCGACAACATAATACGCCGTTAGTCTTGTTTCCTTTCATGAAGCTTCTAGTTTTTCAATTTTAAACTGATGTGTAATCCCTAAACCACACAGCCATAAAGATTGGTTTGAATAAGGCTATAAAGATTACAAGTCTCTTAGGAATACTATTCTCTTTCATTTTCCATTTCCGTTGCTTTCTTTCTGTGCCCCACTGGTTGGTACTCCACAGGCCTGCTGACAATAGGAGAAGTGCTTTCTGTCAAAGTGTTTGGCTTCTAAAAAAGCATTTCAGACCTCAGCACAGAAGCCAGTCTGCACTGATGACATCAGAGCCAGACAGACCTGGCATCAGTTGGGGGGTGGCATGATAGTCTGTCTTACTGATCTAATGCCATTCCACTCCTCACAGGTGTTTCAAATACCTTTTTTCAGTGTGGCCTTCAATTCAGTACCACAATAACCCTTAGCCTGTGACGTGCCTGTCTAAAAGTTGTGTCGCAGAAGGTTGCTGAGTGAGGCATGTGCATCAGTTAATCAGTGCATCAACCAGCCTAAAAGCTGCCGTTTGAGATAGTGTGCATTCGTGCAAACCCAGAATACCATGTTCCAGTGTCAGTGTGGCAGCCTGGACCTGGCACGAGTAGCCCACTGCCCAGAGCACCAACAGGCTGCTGGCAGAGCCTGGCTTCTGGGCCCTGCTCAGGGGCTTCCTCTGAGCAAAGAGAAACTGTGAATTAGCAGTGCCTGACTGCAGGATTCCAGTTTGAGGTTTGAACTACAGATGTTCTAGGAAGCTGAAAAGAAACAACTCCAACTGCCTGTAATGTGTAGGAATTTACAGGATTAAGCAGTGTCTGAGCTGAGATTTGGCTTTAGACAATGCCAGCTACATCTTTTGAAGCATCTAGCTCTGTATATTTAATTTACTAGTCATTAATGAGCTTGAGAGAAGCACTGGAGATGACTGTATTAAGTCTATATTCAGCTGATGTAGTTGCACTGAAAAATACACCCTAGAATCATAGAATGGCTTAGATTGGAAGGGACCTCAAAGATCACCAGTTCCAAGCCCCTGCCATGGGCAGGCTGCCATCCACCAGCTCAGGCTGCCCAGGGCCCCATCCAGCCTGGCCTTGAGCACCTCCAGGGATGGGGTGCCCATGTGGGCAGCTGTGCCAGGGCATGACCACCCTCTGAGTGAAGATCTTCTGCCTAACATCTAACCTAAATTTCTTAGGAAAAGCTGTGGTGGGGAGATGTACTTTGCTAGGTGGTTATTTCTCTTGATAATGTACTTTCTATGGGAAGAATTTAGGTCTAGTTTCTTGTTTGCTCTCCCAGTTAGGGATTGCAATCTTTCTACCTAAATTACTTCCTCAGGGAAATCAGCAGGTGTTTGAAGTGTTCTTCATTGTTGTCAGTGCAGGTCCAGCTAAGTGAGGACCACTTATGACTGGTTCAGATTATAAACTGATTTATCTGGTTTATTTAAAATACTGAAGTCATTCAGGTTCAAAGGCGCTCCGTCTTCCTGTATAAAACGGTAAGCCTCTGAGCTTTTTATTTAATACATACATCTTTTTTATCACAAGTAGCCCTCAAAGGTTTAAAATTTAACACATAGCGAATCCTAATGTTGTTAGGCGCTACTTCAGCCACCTTTATGCCCGTAGTTAATGTCTTGTTATGGAAATGTTGTTTATTACATTTCTCCACTAATTACACTATTCAGGAATTTTTCTGTTAAGGTAGTATTAACCCATGGTTTCTTTCTCTCCCTTCTCCTTATTTTCAGGTGATTGGAATACTGGATGTGTTCACACCAGATGTCACAGTGGAGAAATTTACTGGCTTGTGAGTTTTGAGTTGTTTCTGTTTGGGAGCAGGGGACTGTTTCTTGTATGGAGAAAGATTTGTTTGTGTGTCTTAATAATGGAGAATTCCAAACCCGTTGCTTCCTGACTTTTCTGAATTCCATCTTAGAATGGCTGTTCCATGCAACTTTGAAATTGGTAGGTTTTTCAGACTATTGTTAGAGCTAGTAACCTGTTTTATAAGCTGTGTGGCTGTGTGCTTCTTGCATCCCTCAGTAAACACCTTCTGATGGGCTCCCTAACCCGCCTTTAGTGTTTCTTACACTAAAGCTTAGATGATCAGATAATGGAACCATTCTTAACCCAGGCAAGTAGTCTCAAAGTGATGCCTTCTGCATGACACATCTCCAGTGTGGTCCATTCTAATTCTAGGATTAATTCAAAACTGCTGTTACTGTTTAATTTTTTTGTGAATATCTGAGCTCTGCTCTGTTGCATTCCTCTCTGTGTGGTTTCCCAGTGCTCATTCTGCAGTCCCTTATGTCCAGTTGAAGGTGTTCTACACTTCCCCTTGACTACTAATCTCACAGGCCAACGTGATCCAAGCAGAATGTAATATAAATTATTTTCTGGCACCGGGCATCTACATCTCTTTGTTGTCTGTCTTTTGGCAGCATCTCAGACACCAGATATTTAGTGCTGCAGATATTAAGCCTGTTTTACTTGTGGATCCTTCTGCAATTCTTGTGAATTAGGGTCACTACAGAAACAGTGGTCAGAAACGCTCTTGGACTTACTGTAGATAATACATTATATTTGTAGAACTGCACTGAACTTCCTCCGATGTATCTATATTTTAAAAGCAATCCTGTGTATTTGTATGTTGACAAAAAAAAGCTATCTGACAAGAAAATGAGGGAAACAAATACAAAAAACATGGACCATGTGTTCATATTGATCATTTAAGAGCCAAAAAGGATGTTGTCCAAAAGGTTGGATTAGATACGTGAGGGAGCCTTCCCTTGGCTGACTAGTTGTGAGATGTTATCTCTTACTGACTGTGTAAAGATCAAATTCAAGTTGATTTGTGGCCAGAAACAGCTGAAGAGAGGCATGTGGTTTCACCACCAGCAATCCCTAAGGTCGGTGTCATCCAAGACTTTGGGTTTCTCAAGTAATTCTGGCCCTCCTGTTTAAAGCATAATATGTTCCTGCTCTGTCTGCTGCTCTGCTTTCCTGCTGCTCTACTCCATGAGTCAGTGTAATGAAGACTAAAAACAAGATACCATTTCCTGTGTGAAGAAACAGTCAGTGTCATTTCCCTGCTTGCACTTGTTTTCTGTCAGAGTTGGAAGTGCAACTGATGGAAATATTGTACAAAATCAGTCTTTACCAATTGAAATCCCACTGTGTACAGCTGTTTTTCATCTTCTTTGACTACAATTTTTGCACTGTCTGTCCTTGTATCATAAAACAAGTATCTAGAACAGGTTGCTGCCCTCTAAAAGTTCTAGAGTTTTAACTTGGACTTGCAAGGAACTTAAATGTGCTAGGCATCACGTTTCCATTGATTTGGCAATCAAGTGTCTAACCTCACTGTAAATACATTTCTAAAATAACAACAAGTTCGACAAGCTTTAAATAGGAGACAAAGTGTTCAAGTGAGCCTGTAACGTTTGATCCAGTCATTCCAGTAAGTTACTCATAAACTCGTACTGAAGTTTGGATTTTCAAACTCAGAAATGAGTTTTCTCTTTCTTAAATTTTGTTTCCCGATTTTGTTTCCTCAGTTTGACTGTTAGGTTTGATGTCACCAAACTGTAAACTGAGCATATTGCATATGGAAAAGTGGTCTTAGAGTGCTTGATGGTTACGTATTGTTTTTAATGTTGTCTATTTACATAAATCATTATCCATCCAGAGGCCTGCGATCTGTATGGATGATGGCAGGCTAGTGAAATCTTAATGAATCATGAAGGTCACTGCCATTACTAAAAGACACATAGATATTTCTTTCTGGGTTTTTTTTGTTGTTGTTTTTTTGTTGTTTTTTTTTTTTTGGTAAAACTAGTGTCATTTTCTGGTTCATTTAAAATTTTCCTGACCTCTGGGAAAATGCATCTAATATGTCTGAATAAGGGGAGAACGTAATATGCTTTTAACATTCAAGAGCATCAACAAAGCAGAAATCAATCTCAGTTTTCTAGGTTACTGGATCTGTTGTTGAGAAGCATCTAGAGTGAGACTTGGAGAGAGAGAAGAAATTTCATTCTCAGTAGTTGCTATGTCCTTATATGATTACAGAATTGAATTGCACATTTTTTCTGTCCAAGAGATAACAAACTGGCCTGTGGATGTTGAGACTGGAAGCCAGTATGAGTTACTGATGATGAAGGAGGTTACAATCCTAGATAGAAGTTAATTTGTTACATCTGACCTTGTCTATTTGATTCTAGGCCGTTTGTTTGCTGCTGGTTCACATACCCTATGATAATGATGGTGAGATAAATACCACTGTGTGAATGTTCCAGTTTCCTGTGTAGATATCTTTGAAATATCACATGGCTGTTGAGTAGATACCTTTTATCTAGTTCAGCATCTGTACTCTTCTGGTAACTGCCAACTTTCCATAATCAGTGTCAAGGTTATGTGGTACCTCTTCATGACAGCAGATAAAAACACAGAGGGGCCTGAAGGGAAGATAGTGGAATTGTTTGGTAAACAGAATGATCTGTAATATTGTCAGTGAACCACAGCATACAAGTATGTTTCAATTTATTTGACAAACTTAAAATTATTCTGACTTTATTTCCTTTTTTTTTTTTTTTTTTAGCTACCTAGTCATGCCATTTATGGGAACAGACTTGAGTAAGATAATGAAGCATGAGAAACTCACTGAAGACCGAATCCAGTTCTTGGTATATCAGATATTAAAAGGCTTAAAGGTTTGCCACTTTTTATTATTTCCATTTCACAATATCTTGTTTTCCTAGTAAACTGTTATGGAGAGCTGTACTTATCATTTGATGGCAGGATACAGCTTACCTTGCCTTGTTTGGTACAAGTATTGAATTCTGTGCAGTAGTTATTTTGTGACAGTGTTATCTGGCAGGGCTGGGATTTTTTTGTGCAATGCTTTCTGTGTGGATTTTGTTGGTTTTTGTGTGTTGGTTTTTTTTTTTTTTTCAAGAAAATGAAAAGAATTGAGGTCATTACATCGTGCCTATATGTATGGATGTAACCTGTAGGTGTGGTGTTTGGGGAATGAAAATCTGAACTGGAGAGAAAATCTGAGCCTCACTGTCTCACAGTGCTCACACTGGTTTTGGCGAGTGTTCAGGGACCATAATAATTGTCACATTAATCTCTGTGTGTTAAGAGCCCAGTTCTGCAAAGCACTGTTGAATGTGACTAGGTAAGTTATTCTCTGGAACACATTTCACTTATTTATATATTCAAGAAACAAGAATTCAGAATGTAGGTGATGTCTTCCTCTTGTAACATTACTGTGCTAAATCCCTTCACCTAGCTCTGCAGGCTGTGTCCAGGCTCTCCAGCAGTGATGTCATTTAATTCCCTTTGCTGTTCAGGAGACACTGTGTAGCATGAAGGCCATAGAACTGCACCGTCTAGGATTGGTGTGGCTGCTGCCAGCACTGTACAGCTTTTGTTTTATAGTCCTACAACATATGGGCAGACTTTTCTCTGCGCACAGAGGTTAAGTGCAGACTGTGCTGGGAGTTGTATCTGATAGGGATATGCGTATGCGGTGAAAATCCAGCACTGGTTTTAATAGAGGAACATTTGTCACATCTGTCAAGATTCTGATTTGTTCAGATGTGTATTTATATTGCCAAACCCTATTAAAATAATCAGTATTGCGGGACAACTTGGTGGTCCTGTACAAGAGCATCAGCACGATTCCTTTGTAGCTCCATATTTAATAGATAGAGAAGGGCAGTTATTGTTCTGCTCTCATCATGAAACTTTGGAAACATGTTTTGTGCTTGAGGTTTAGGTTAGATGTTAGGAGGAAATTTTTCATACAGAGAGTGGAGACATGCTGGAACAGGTTGATCAAAGAGTTTGTGGATGCCCCATCCCTGCAGGCATTCAAGGCCAGGCTGGATGTGGCTCTGGGCAGCCTGGTCTGCTGGTTGGGGATCCTGCACACAGCAGGGGGTTGAAACTAGATGATCTTTGAGGTCTTTTTCAACCCAGGCCATTCTATGACTCTATGATTTTTATTTTGGTGATACAGCTGTATGCTTTTGTCTTATTTAAAATATTTGGTTAAGCTTGCAACTTAGAAGGGCTTTTGCCATTCTTTTGTTTTTGGCAGAAAAGCTATGTAATGTGAACGAATATGGAAGGCAAGCTGAAAATAAATGTCCTTACGCAGGTGGAACAGGACTGGAGTTTCCAGCTCCTTCAGTCTTGGGTTCCTTATCTGCAGGAATGTGAATTGGGTTTGTTTTCTTAGAGGTCTGAGGATATGGGGTTGGTCATTGTATTTCTTGATTTATGCAGTATTTGAGAACATAAACTTAGCTCTTGGGCTTTATGAACCTTATATACCTTTTCAAGCATCTTTTGCCATATTCATGGTAATTTTTCTTTTCTCCAGTTCTCTCCTTCGGTCATCCCTGTTTACTGTATTTGTTCACGTTTGTGGTATTCTTTCTTCTTTACTGTTTTCTCCTCCCTCACGCATTTCCTCTTCAGTTTTTCTTTGCTGTTAAGTCACTCCTCATTTTAATTTTTCTTGCTGCCTAGAATGCTTTTCCCCTAGACTTTTCCAATTCCCTTTTTAGTAGATTTTTATTTTGTATAGATATTACATATGCAGATAATAATCCATAGAATTCAGACAACTGTTGGATCTCTTCCTAGCACAATCTGAAGCTTTCATTCAAGGATTTATGAATGCTATCAAAAGTCAAGATTATGCACAGAGCTCCTGTGTTCAGAGGGACTTTGCACACGTTAAGCTGGAATCTTGAATTAAATTTTGTTCCAGTAAATTGGTAATAACACTGTGAAGTGTATGTCTGCTATGCTCTCAGTGTGTTTATCACATTAAGAGTGAATAATCTGACAACAGATGGATAACTTAATGAAGAAAATTGGCAAGAATAGGATCCCATTTCAGAGGGATCCTATTCAGAAGGCTGTTGAACCGAAATGGAAAACTTTCTGAACTAAGAGGAGTTTAGTTCCAGTGCTGTACCTGCCAGCAGATAATAGAAAGCAGTCACGGAATACCACTATTGTTGAAGAAGCACTGCAGCTCAACACAGGTTTTCCTGTTTACAGAAGGGCTAGCATTTACACAAGCACCAGAAATAAGTGCTATGTCATGTAATCTCAGCAGTCTTACGTAAAGAGAAGTGTTGAGAAGATAGATGAGTTCTCCCCAAAATGTTGATATGATTTTTGGTGCTATTAACTGTCTTAATCTTCAGTGGAGCGAGAACACCGATAAAACCACATTCTTCATCAAAATGGATGGGTTTACTTAAAATAAAACTCAAAAGGGTGCAGTCCCTTGAATTCCTGTTTCTACATGCTACATTCTTAGGCACAGAAATTCCTGAATCTGCTAGTTATTTCCTTACTGTGTACAGTCATACCAGCAAAAATAGCCTATAGAATATTATTAGCCTCTGCTTTGGAAAATCAAGAGGCCTCAGTACAAAGACACCAAAGTGATTTGGAATGTAAGTAGTCATGGTGGTATCCTTGATAAAGATGGCTGTTGGCTGAAGACTCCAGCCTTTTCTCCATTTGTTGGGAGCCTAACTACTTACAGGCATATTGATAAAAATATATATGTATTTATATTTTCTCCAGGTTCTGTACCTCTGACTGATCTCTTCTTTTTGCATCTTGTTCCTTCCATCCCGATGCATTTCATGCACATCCATGACAGAAATAGCATTTCATAGCTCTTTATGTGTTGTAGTGGTTTTACAACCTGTGCTCTGGGTAACAGTTCCCTCAACCCTTTGTGGCTGCCTCCAGGAACTCCCGTGGAGTGCTTTGGCAGTTCTATGGGAGATTTTAAAACTTGGATAATAGGCAGAAGGAAGTGATGTGCCATCTGCTGGAGATACATAGTGCTAGGGCTTTGGGCTGCAGAGGACGGAAAGCTTTCCAGAAGGGGACTCAGGCATGGCAGTCAGCAGCGTGCCCCTGTGGCAGCAGAGCCCTGTCGTCATCTTGACTGTATGGCTGAAGTTGTAATCTGTGAGTGAAGTGATTTTTTTCCCTCTCCTCAGAACTTAGCACTGTGTTCAATTTGGGGCATCCCAGCACAAGGAGGGCACTGACAGAGCGAGGACACTGAGGGGTCTGAAGTGGAGAGCGTATAAGTAAAGGCTGTGCAAGATAGGCTCATGCGTCCTGGAGAAGACATGGCATGGCTTTGCTCTAACCAGTGTCTATGTGGATCTGATGAGAGGATGTAAAGAGGGCAGAGTAGACTCTTCTCAGTGGTGCCTTTTGACAGGATGAGAGGCAACAGGCACAAGGTGAAATGGACAATTCTGTCTGAACACAAGAAGAAAAAGGTTTGGTGTCTGACCACCACACTGGAATGGGTTGCCTGGAAGGGCTCCATACTTGGAGCTGATCAGAACTTGACTGATCCCATCCTGGGCAACCTGCTGTGGCTCCAAGTGGGGTGGTGGGACTCGATCTGCAGAGTCCCAGTCTGCAGCTGTTGTGTGGTATGAAACCAGCTATAGAAAAATAGAGGAACAAACATATAAACATTTACCAACTGTAGATACTTTGTTTAGTCAGCTTACTTCCCTGTAACACGGAGAGAGGGATGCCCAGGGAGGAAAAGTATTTGCTTTCTTTTCCCTGTTCCCCTCATCTGGTGGACAATGAGGATTCCTTTGCAGAGGGACTGTTGCTATATACAAAATGGCAAAACCATAAATGCTGCCATCAGAGTTGATAAGCAAGAAGAAAAGAGTTAAGAAAACCAACCTTGAGAACAAATGAAGCAACATCGTGAGCAAATAAATCAACGCTGTGACTAGCAATTATTAATCTAGTATAATGCCTGTAAGAATTTTATGTCAACAGATTCTGTTTGGATCTGTCATTAATTCAACCCTTTGGGCCCCCTGTGGGTCACCACAAGGACTGCTGTGGTTTAACTGCAGCTCCCCACCACATCACTGCTTGTTCTTCCCCCAGTGGGATCGGGGAGAGAACTGGAAAAAGATAAAACTTGTGGGTTGAGGTAAAGACATTTAGGATTCCCACTTCATCCATCGTTTCTGAGGACTTGTTAAAAAGCCCTTATTGTTCTCTTGTTGCTTAGTCTGAGTAATACAGATGCCTCAGTCTTCATGGTCTGCAGTGTTTTCAGAGCAGTTCCCTGCACCTGAACAGCACAGGCACATTCAAGGGCACTCTAGGGCAGTGTGTCCTCACTTTGGAACAGCAGGCAAGCATACAAATTGGTCTGAACCAATTACCAGAGACTCCTGTCATGGCCTATGATGAGACATCTCTTTGAGGGTGGTATTCACCTGGTGAGAGGAACTGGGCACCTCATGGGAGCACTGGGTGACAAACACAGGTGTGGATACTGGTATTTGGTCAGATGTCTTGTTTCCCAGCTTCCTTGAAGAACTGGTCTTCAGCATCCATGTCTTAGTTTGAATTTTGAGAGCCCTTAAATGCATGCTGATAAATCTGATAAACTAGATTTGCACGCAGGCAGTGGTGAAGCATACAGCAAGGCTTAATCCTGTTCTTAAAGGATTTCTGAAAGCTCGGTACTGCTGAGGCATGCAGATCTAAACTGTGATGGCACAGCTGAGATGTCTACTGCAAGAGAGCATTTCTGATGCATAAAAGGGCAGGATTTATTTCAGTAGATGTGTATGCAGAAAAACTGTATGATCTGGTGCAGTACTCAAACTTGTTTACTGTCATGTAGTTCTGGGGGGAGGAATAGGGTAAGATGCTATTGAATTACCTGAACACTAAAAAGATCTTCTGTGTAGTAAATAAACATTTCCAAAATTCAGATTACTTTAGCACCATGAAAAAGCCTGCTCCCCAGCTCCTCAGAGTCACTTAGAGTCGTGAGCTCGTTAACTAAAACATGCTTTCTTTGCTTTTTTTTTTTTTTTTTTTTTCCAGTATATTCACTCATCCGGTATAATTCACAGGGTAAGTAGAAATTACATAAAATATGTTTAAATTCTTACAATGGGGTTGTGATTTTGTGTAAGCATGGACATAAATGTTTTTGAGTTCACATTTATAATGTTCAAGTTGGATTATTTGTTTGATAGAAACAGTGTAACTGCGTCAAGTGTAAGCTGGCCACCAAAGTTGCACAGAGCACAGTTCAAGTTCTGAAAGTGCTTCATGCAATTGAGTAGTAAGTCCCCATAAGAGCAAACAGCACCTAAATTGAGATGGCTAAGATTTTTTTCTGACTTTGAAGACAAAAATTAAACTCTTAAAAATATTTAAATGTTATATAAGAATCATAGATTTTTTTTTTTTTATTTGGAAGGGACCCTTAAAGGTCATCTAGGGGGAGAACACAAGGAAAAATGCCATATAAATTCAAGTTTGTGTCTTTACTTCTGTAATTTGTTATGTCTAATTTTCTGGTTTATATTTATGACATTGTTTTACTTGTTTCTGTGTTAAGTAGTTGCAGGAAAACCATCTAACCTAAATGAAAGAAATACTTGCAAAGTGTGGTTTATTCTGTTTGCTGGAAAAGAAATAATTAACATCCATTTAAAATCTGATTGCAGGACCTAAAGCCTGGAAACCTGGCAGTAAATGAAGACTGTGAATTGAAGGTAGGATATGTTCACTGAAAAAAGTTTTCATCTGTATGAGAGATGTGCCACAGAAAACACCAGGGGCAGCAGCTGTAAGTGTGCTGACTGGTGTCAGTGGTACATAGGGGTTTCAGCCCAGGAGCTCTGAAGAGTCTTGGAGAAAGGAAGAGGATCAGATGGACAGTGGTAATGAACTTGAAAAAAATGGATGGAGACTGATACTTTTAAATATTTTCCCATTTGTGTGACTTTAACACCACAGCAGTATTTGTGTATTTATTTAAGAAATAAAGCCCTGAATACTGAGAATCTATTAGTTTCCTATTTGCATGTCCTTGACTGAAGTCAGTGTATGTTTCATGCGAATGGCAGAGGTGATGATGTCTGAAATCATTATGGAGCCAGGCACAAGAGGTGGCTGTACCAGAAAACGGAAATGTTGCCAAGGATGTCAGAGCTGAACATAGGTAGGACACTCTGGGAAACTGGTGCACCGTTAACAGAGGAGAGCTGAGGGTTGGCTCCAGGGTGTACAGAAGACTGCTGGTGAGGAGGTCAATGCCACAGGCTTTATTCATAGCTTTAGTCCTTCCAGCTGGGTGAGGAGCAGTGTGAGAGCTGAAATTACTTTCATGTGGATTGGTGTTTATGTGGCAGTCGTGCAATAGCCTTGGGCCTGTGAAAGGTGTGTGTGTAACTATAGCAGTCAGGCTTCTCAGGAAATAATCATGTCGTGGTTACAGTTGCACAAGAGCTGTAATGCAGAACTGTTCCTGTGATGCCTTGCAGCTCATTGCTTCAGAGAAGCACGGGAGGAATCAAATACTGCTCACCACAAACATCATATTTCTTTGAAAGCGATTCCTTCCGCACCATTAAAATAACATCAATTGCATGCAGACCACATGTACTTCATAGAAAGAATACGCCAGTTCTTGATTTTTGCTTTTAAATTAATTACTACTAAGAAAAAAAAAAAAAAACATTAAAGAGAAATGGTTGCTAATTTAGCATTGTAGAGTTCATCTGTTAACTTTCACTGGTGCGCTGTAAGACAGGTGCACTTTATGGCATTTCCTGTATTTCCTGGTTGCTGCTTATCTGGAGTGGGAAAGTGCTGGCACAGACCATGCCTCCCTTTGCCCTTCCTACCTGGGCTTCTGTCCAAAGGTGGGTGTGAGGATGGTGCACACTCACACCTATCCCCTATGGAAACGGTGCTTAGTTGGAATGCACACCTGGAGACGGGGCTGTAGCACCCACAGTGGAAAGTACCTGTCCTGAAGAGTGGGTGTTGCCATTCCTGCTGAGTCTTCCTTGGATTTGTTGTCAGTACAGTCTGTCTGAATAGTAATTCTGCTGCTGCACATGTGGCATCTCAGGCCTCCTGAGATGGAGTTGGACTGAAGATGGACATTGGACTGAAATAGTGAATCTGAGCTGTTCAGATTTTTTTACTCAGTTTCTTATCTCTGTTAAAAATCTTCCAATACCTGTTAGGGAACATATTTGTACTTGAGAAATAGATACACAGTGTGCCCCAAAGTAGTAAAATGCATCTGGTTGAGCTGTGCAGAATGAGCTGCTTTAAAAAAAGCAAATTGTTTAGTATCAAGTTGAACTATGTAGTGTTCAGCACTGTTCATTTTAGGAATACAGTTTATTCTCCTGAGGGATATGGGCCTCACACTGTTTCCAGTCCTCAGGTCAGCCTATTGTATTCTATTGTATTCTTTTTTAATACGTCACTATTAATTTTCTAGACTTGTTTTTGTTACCTGTCTTCTCTTAGCTGTGGCAGTCTGAGAGGCAAGCCAGGACTTTTCAGTTAATTACAAATCCAAGCTACGTTTTCTGTCCTGTGCTGTCATGGCTGGTACAAACATCTTGACAAAACGACAGTATGTTTGAATGGGATGTTTGTGTCCTGATATGTAAGGACTCTTAGATCTTACGGCCAAGGCTGTCTCCCTGAAAAGATATAAGCCTTTATGGAAGCAGGTCAGTCATGTGAGAATTCCAGCTTTGAATAAATACAGTAAGTCTAAGTCTACAGCTGGGAGATACAGAAGATCAAAGGTTGTAAAGCAGTCCCATAATTAAACGCAATAAAAGTGCTTTTTAGCATGTAACATATGGATTATATACTGCATTATATACAGCATGTAACTGTTGCAATACAGTTTCTTGCTCTTTGGAGACTGAATGCAGCAGACCTGGATGTTCAGGGCCATGTGTTTTCAGGATTCCCCTGTTTAAGACAGAAAGCCATTGTCTCTTTCTGGCTTGTGTGAGGCCAAACTGTGATGAGTCCCAGTCTGATAGTGGGGGAAAAAAGAATCTAGGTAAACCAGTTGGACATGTTCTCCCTCCACCCCCCCTACCTGTACAGTGAGATTTTGAGACGCAGTCCAGATCCAAGACATTATTCCTCTGTATGATTGCTCTATTTCCTTACCTAATACAACTTATTTTTCTGTTGCCGTGGACATTTTTAAGCTTTTACATAAGCTGAAGCAAATAATTTGATAGCAGAACACCATTTTGTTAAATGAGTAGGAGAAAATGTAGTACTAAGTTTAAGTTTTCTTCCTTGATTCTCAGGGCAAAATTATGCTATCCCTAGTTTTATGATAAGCTCTGATATCGCATACTGAAGTGTGTGATTTGAAATCAGTGAATACCGGTCGTCCAAAGGCAGCTCCAGCGTATGGGCAGAAAGCAAACTATCAAATGTTGAGAAATGTACATTAGAAATATGAGGGCAGGGATTTAACTGTGACCCCACTTACACTGAACCAACTGAACTGCCTTTCACTGCGTGTGCGTTCCGCTGTAATGCATAGGATGTGCCTTGCCCTGTGAGCGCTCCGTATGCTGGCACAAGGCAGTACTGACAGGGATCATCCCATATTTTTTCCCCCTTTTGTGTCTCAGCATCTTCCCTTGCCTCAGCTCTAGCAGCTGTGTGGCTTCCTTGAATTAATAATTGTTAATAAGTAATCAGCCCTATTTCTCAGAGCGTGCTTTCCAGCTGCCTTGTCTGGTTCTTTCAGCTGCTGCTTAGAAAGTGACAGTGGAGGCTGCCACAGGGGGAGTCACTGCCCTTCCTGTTGTCTTGAAGCTACAAATTATTTTTGTTACAGTTACTGAAGCAAGGAAGAAAATTAAGTTTGCTAAATAGAAAGGGAGCTTACTCTTGAGCCATGGGGCATTTGCTCTCTTTCATAATTCCTGCATTATAAAATTGGTTTTCAACTTGCTCTGAAAATATCTTTTGAAGTTCTAGTATAAAACTAGAAGATCAGGCAGAGTTTGAGAATAATATTTTTATGTGAAAATTGTTGTTGCATTGGTACTGTGTTAATGCTAAGCTCCATTCGTTCATGACCCTAATGAGCACATCAATGAAAAGAAATCATAAAGTTAATGAATAACACATAAAAATTCTTGCTTTCATTTTCTGCCTTTAGAAAACTACAAGTCCAAATTCCATCTTAGCCCTTCTCCAAGACCTGGTGTCACAGCCTTTTGAAAGAAAGAGGCCTACAAAGCTGTGCCAGACAGTACCAACAGTGGCTTTTGAGCTGCTGCACAACACACTGATTTCCCTCACCCTCCTCTCCCTCCCAGCATTAAGGGAAGATGTGTGTGTGTGCCCTGTGCACACTAAATTTGAAAGCTGTATATAAAGATGTATTGCAGTTGCAAATATTTTGAGACCGGTTTTGAAAGGTAACTTTGGGCTTAATCAATTGCATTTTATTGGTGAGAATAAAACTCTCCCATTGCTTCCTAGTCCTTTCCAAATTTGTAGGTAATCAACAGTTATGGGGAAGTTATGGAAATAATGCTTCTAGTGTGGCAATAAAGACAAGCCCTGGCATTTTATATTCTTTATCTATGAATGAAATTACAGTTTCCCTTTCTATTAGCATCAGGGAATAATGAAATTGTCCTGCTTAAAGTGAAATATTTGAAGATGTTTGACTACAGTGAAAGCATTATAAATATGTCAATCTTGCTATAGTAATGCACGGGTGCTCCTAGTAAAAACTTCTGCTGTGTCAGTCAATATATGTATGAAGCCAGATGAGAGCAGTGGCCCTTCACATGAAGCTACCTATTCAAATATCTGCAAAGGATGATCTGAGCAGGCTTCTCTGCCAAGACCCTTCTTGTCAATAGTGTGGATTTCCTGATAAACTGTGAAATGACCGTTGGCCACATCTGTTGGCTGACTTCAGAACACTCTTGGAACACACTCTTGAATAATCGTGCCACCTTGGATGTCAGAACAGTGGATACCATGTAAGCTGGGTGCTTTTCTTCAAACTCTAAAAAGATAAGGTGGTTGTTCCACACCCAGGATTGAATGGGACCAGTATCTCTTCAACCGTTAATTGAATAATGTATTGTTTTCTCTACTGGCTTTACAGCTTTAAGTGCTGATATAAAGGTATCTATCTAACGTGGAAAAAAATTGTAAACCTCCTTGCTACTTCTGCCTTGATTAATAAAATGAGATCGAGACACTTCAGTGAGAAAGAGATGCAAAAATAACTCAATCTGTAGGATGCTCTGAGTCTTTTATTTCCTGTGTTTGTTAAATCTGTATGAAATAGATAACTCTCTGGGTGTACTTTGTGCTTCCACTGCAGATCCTGGATTTTGGAATGGCCAGGCATACGGACAGTGAGATGACAGGTTACGTGGTTACAAGGTGGTACAGAGCCCCAGAGGTCATCCTTAATTGGATGCATTACACACAAACAGGTCAGCATCTCTTTGGAAAAGTCTTAATACAGCTGAAGCGTTCACCGAATAAGGCAAGTCTGTGCTTCTGAAGTGAGTGAGACATTGGAGGTGGAAATGATAATATAACGATGAAAATCTTTCTTGTAGGTTGCAGGTAATCATTTGGGGGTGTGTTTTTTGTTTCGTTCATGGGGTGGGTTTTTTTGTGTGTATTTTCTAAAATGCAAATTGTTCATTTGCTCCAAAACAATTGGAACAAACCTGCTCTACGTATTTGTGTTCTCCCTGACTAATCTTTCTGCAAAGATGTGCTTGTTGTAACAGACGAGGTAAGTGGCAGAATGAGGGAATTGAAGTAATGCCAGAATAACCATAGAGATCTTTGAAAGCATAGCAGAATTATTTCCTGCATGCATCTGTTTGTTACTGAGAAGCTGATTGTGCCCAATACCAGATTATCTTCTGTTTGCCTATCAGAAATGCTAGTAGTTTTTTCTATATTGATTATCATAGTCTGCAAGGCACCCATCTATATTATAACAGACTACGAAGGTAAATTTTAGTCATCTTTAAAATATATTTTAGATTAAACTGTACATTTGGATGAACAAATATTCAGTAATTTAATGCTACTTTATCCTCCTTTCAGTTGACATCTGGTCTGTGGGCTGTATAATGGCTGAAATGATAATGGGGAGGCCTCTGTTCAGGGGAAACGACCGTATCCTTCCTCAATGCATTAATGAAACCAACTTCAGAAAACGATGTGCAAAAAGGTGCTTATGTGGTGCAGTGAGTGTGCTGCAAATCTGTTGAGCGTAAATTAAAATATAGCTATGATGTGGCTATCATCTATATTTAAGTAGTTATTTGATATTTGTACCACATCTGTACATCAGCAAATTAAAACTCACATTACTGAACTTTTTCAATAGAGTGGGATATCCATTGAATGATGCCTCAAATCATCAGCTAAAAGTTTCAATGACAATACAAAAGGTAAATATTTATATATATATATATAAATAAGTATATATATATATATATATAGTAGCAATAGGTTCCACAACTCCAGCACAGAAAATTCTGGTGTAGTATATGAACTTACCAGCATGTGCCAGTCCATTTCATGCTTTTTGAGGCTTTTGTCAAAAATATCATGTAAATAATACAGAGTACAATATTTTAGATGTGCGGAAAATATTTGGTCATGTCATTTCATTGCTGAAAATTTAAGGAAATAGTTAAGACTTAGCCATACTTCAACCTTAGGTGATACTTTGTTGGCCCGAGTTGTAACAGACAGTAGAGTGCAGTGATAAAAGAATACAGCAAGAATTCTTCACTTGTTTTGTTCACGAGTTCTGTATGTTTGACAGCTCATCTTTTATACATCTTCTGTTCAGTGTTGCATTGTTGGTTTTCCTTTATTCTCCAGTAGCAAAGAAACACATAATTTTTATCCTATGGTGAAAGACTTTGTTCCTTATTTCTGGCATTCAGATCTGGATCAACTCAAAGAAATAATGAAAATAACGGGTACACCAAGTCAAGATTTTGTGCAAAAACTGAAGAGTCAGGAAGTGAGTATTCTGCTTTGTCAGACTGTTTTATGTGCCCTGATTTTACTTAGGCCATTCTCACTTCTTAGACTGCCTGAGATCAGGTGTGTTGGCTGCTGAAATGACCCCCGATAGCACATCTCTGCCTACTTATGAGATTTCACAGCCAGAAAAATTACTGGACATTAAGGGGAAACAGAAAATGATTAGGACACTGAAAAAAAATGGGTGTATTTAAGTACTTTAAATCAGCTGAGCTGATACATCGCTTCCTTTGCTGGGAACATACTGAAAACATGAACCTCTTCAGACAACCCATTCATTCTGTAGGTGTCCCTGACTACCTATTTTCATGTGATGTTTTTGAGAATCCTGAAGTCCCTACAATAAAGAACCTAAAATGAATCATTAGTTGAACTGTACAATTTAAATACTAAAGAATTACTGTAAGATAGACACTTTTAGAGATTTCTGTAAATTTCAGAATGACATTCTTTCAAATTATGAATACATGTTTATTCTAATCAACATTTTAGATGTTAATTAGGTATCAAAGTTTTACATTTAATTTTTTAATCAGAATTTTAAGGTTCAATTTAAAAGAAACTGTTCCTTTCAACAGGAAGGTGAACATAACCAGGCCTTATAGCAAAAAAAAATTCCATTTGTACAAGGTACTGTCAGAGCATCACTAAGTTACCTAGTAAGCACATTACAAAGGAGGCAAAGTTCTAATTTAATATTCATGTTTCTTTTCAGGCAAAAAACTATATCAAAAGCCTTCCAAAAGTCCAGAAAAAGGATTTTGCATCCGTCTTGAAGCACGCGAGCCCTTTGGGTAAGGCAGTTTGTGCGAATGTGTGCCATTTCTGTTGTTGTTTTGTTTGCTCTGGAGTCAGCAGCAGTATCAGTCATGTGATAGGTTATGTGGTGATTCTCATGCTGCTCTGCCTCTTGCGTTCCATCACTCAGATCTTTGATTCTAGTGGCTGAACTGTGCCAAGTTTAGACTCTGCCAGGAATCAGATGATTCAAAAGAGTCAAAAAGAAGTATTTTATGCTTTAGGCTCTGATCCAGACCGCGCTTAATGGTTTTACTGAAGCAGCTTTCTCAAAAGCCCTGGGGATTTAAATATATTTAATAAAATTTTCTGTGCATTGTATTTTAAATATAATTCTGAAATCAAAGTCCTTTTGATGTACAACAGAAATGCAAGCAAATAGAAAGCTGACATTTTAGACGTGGAATGAATGCATCCTGAGAAACATCTGTGCATTCCTGCAAAGATCTGGCTTGTATTTGATGGATATAAACAGCTAGAAGAACATACCAAGTGTGCATAACTGTGACGTGACCTGAGGGAATAAGAGCTCTGAGATGGCTCTGCCCAGCTTCATCCGTTCCCCAATGACCTGACTCATAAAGCCAGGCATTCTTAAAATATGAATTAGGATTATTGACTCTTCTGTATTTAAGCAGTTAAAATGGTATGTTAAGATACAATAGGATTATTATCTGTGGCCCAATGGCTAAACTCACTAGCTGTCCCAGCTGCAGAAAAGTCTACAGATCTCTACTTAAATGTCTTCCTATCACTTCTTTGGCCATCTGGCTGTTCCTTATGTGAAGAACAACTGCTCTTGGTCTGGGAGAGAAGGTTGGAGAGACTTGTAGTGTTAGGTGCGTGGTTGGACTTAAAGATTTCAATGTTCTTTTCCAGTCTAAATGATTCTGTAATGTTATGAATCCATAATGTGCCAAGCAAGCATTGCAGCATCTTTTCCCATGCTGCTGCCCTTCCTCCTGTATGGTGTTCCACCCAACTCAGAAACTTTCTTACAGGATACTTTTAGGAACATAATAGAATCGTGTCTGTTTATACTAGTGCATTTTGGTAGTCTCACGGAGGACCCGATCCAAAATCCACCCGTGTGGAACGTTGAAGATGCTCATGGATTTCATGCATTGTTTTGGTGAGGTCAAAACACGTTGCAGATAAAGCTAGTACTGACACTGAGAGCATGGATATCTTGGTGAACTTGAAAATGTGCTGCCAGTGCTGAGGGCATGGAGTTATTCACATAACAAACAATCCTCAGTAGCTCTACACCCATCTGCAAATCCTGCCGCTGCCAAGTCACGATGTGCCTTAGAACCACAACACAGTGCTGGCAGTGAGGGCAGACAACTGGGAAGTTCCTAAATGCCGTGGACCTGGAGTCAGAAGCTGAGAAGTCATAGCTGAGGTGATGTGGCTGTATTGCATGTGGAATTTAAGGAGCATCTCTGCATTGCTTGGTACACGTCCCAGCTTGTTCACCGCACTCTGTTTTTTTGTGCAGTAGGGCCCCACTGGCTGTAGAATGAACAACCAATTATTTTGCAATTATTTTTATTTTTTATTTTTGTAAATAAATAATTTTTGTAAATCTGTAATATCTTTAAAGCATCTTCTGTGCAGCATTACCTTGCATAAGTTGGAATTGGTGGCTTGATTTCAATGCAGTGTTTATTTTCTGTTCCATAGCTGTAAATCTTTTGGAGAACATGCTGGTGCTGGATGCGGAGGAGAGAGTCACGGCAGCTGAGGCTTTGATGCATCCTTACTTTGAACCAATTCACGATCCTGAGGAAGAAATTGAGGCTGAGAAATATGATGAGACATTTGATAACATGGATCTAACCCTGGATGAGTGGAAGCGTGAGTTTAGTTTTGTGATGTTTTCAAAATAGGCAGTTAGAAAGGCCACCCCAAAATGAAAATACTCTCCTTTGCTGATGATTGTCACTACTTTTAATGGAAAAAAATAAGTGGACAGCATAAAATAGAGAAACACTGTTGGTCAGCGTTCCTTTCATCAAATCCTCCTGAAAATATCTTCAGAGGTTTTCTTCTCTTCACTCCTAGCAGTGGCTTCTATCTTCTTCATACATCTTTCTTCTTATCTCCTGCAATATAGGAAGGAAACGTGTTTGTTACAGTGGATAGGACAGAGCAACAGATTCCTTAGCTGTTGGCTTTGTAGGCCTTAAAGTTATTGCTGGCCTTAATTTTCTGTTAGATATGTTTTCTCTTTCTGAGAAAGCCTGTCTATCTCAGAAGAAATTAAAATCTGAATCTGGTTTTTGTCTTACGTCAGAGTTTTGTATTTTGACTCGTAAATGAGGTGAGGTCTTGATTTGTAATTCTGCTGTACTTAGGAGCACTTTCTGGGCGTATTTTCCACTATATTATAATGTCAATGCTTACACACCTTTGAAAACACCTACAACATTTTTGTATTGGGCTACTTCTTCACATCTGAAGTGGCAAAACAGTGGTCAAGCAATCTCTGATTCCTTTATTTTTTGTACTGTTTCTCTCTTTTTTCGCCTGAAGAGGTCTCTGTCTTCCTCACCTTGATCAGAGCCCGACCATGCTGGGGATTGCACCCAGCTTATATCTGCAGCTCCTTTTCTGGCCAGACCAGCAACACTCTTTATTTTGTTGTTTTGTGTTGTTGTTGTTGTTTTTTCCAGGTGTTACGTATAAAGAGATACTGAACTTCAAGCCACCACAAACATCAGAGTCAAAGGAGACAGCAGTGTAATTGTATGGCTTGGTCTTTTCAGAAGTCAGAAGAAAGCAGGAAAGCTGTAAATGTTTGTAATATTTCAGGTGTATAAATTTTTTATAAATAAAGTGGATGTAATGTATTTCATCTTTCACTGTAAGAAGGAGCAGTGTCTTTTACTATGCATGTGGAAATGTGGTGCCTCTGGAAGCAGCACCTCAGAATTGTCCAGAAGCATATTTCTGCTCATAGCTTCTCCCCTCTGCACAAAAGAATTCGGTCTCTGACAACCCTTGAAAGAGCAGGTGGGACCAATTCTTCAGATCAGAAATCAAATGAGAGTACAAGCTACTACTGCAAACAAGCTGAGACACAGAGTACATCAGTGATGTACAGGGTCTCCTCTCTGCTCTCCAGGGCTGTTGAACCATCTTGAATTCAAGAGGTATTAATAGGACTTCCTCTGGAATATTTCACCTTGATGAGATGTCTGGGGAGGCTGATCAGCTTCTGTGACCTCAACTAGTGAGGAGAGATACAGCCTGAATGGATGCATTTCTCCTTTGTGAGGGCAGAAGAACCTGAGCTCCATCCAGGTCTGAAAAATGTATGCAAGAGAGAAGAAGTAGGCAAGTGTCAGCATCCTAGAGATTTTTACAGTAACCAGTGTAGTAGGACAAGACTTCCCAAGTGCACTAGGTGAACAACCACTAGGTGAACAATCACTTTCTAGAGTCACAATGTTTTTATCTCAATGCAGTGGAGTCTCTTTGTATGACAGAGTTGGGATTTACAGGGAGAAACTTTTTAAGACTGTTTGAAATTGTACAAGCTTTCTAGCATCTTATGTCTGAAATAATCATTGAAAATATACATATTCTCAGAGGACACACTGATTAGAAAACCAGCAGTGCTGATCTTAGAAATACAGCTGCACGCAAGTGACGTTACAGAAAATTAAGTGAGGATAAACACCCAACACTACAGCTATCCATGCTGCTTGCAGCAGGCTCTTGTACAGAGGTGTCACCAGGTGCAAAATCACAACCATTCTATTTTGGGGCCTTTTGGAGTCATCTTACTTTGGGGGGAACCTCCAACCTTCCACTGGGAGGTACCTTACCAGAAGGAGTCAGATTCCTGATGAGCTACATTGGGATGTGAGATGCTTTATGAGATCTTCTTTATGTCTTTATGTGTTTTCCTTGGTGCTTAGTTCATAATCATAGAATCATATAGTGAATCATAGAATGGCCTGGGTTGAAAAGGACCTCAAAGATCATCTAGTTTCAACCCCCTTATCATGGGGCCAACACTTACTTACTTAGGGTCGTGCCTCGTGCCCATGACCTCTTAAAGGTCATGGGAGAAAAGTGCCTATTGGAGATAGTGGCTTTTGGTAGCCTTGCTCATTGCAAATGTCAAGTGGCTGAGGTGCCTCTTTTAGTACTGTAGAAGCCACAGGCTTCTGGAGACATAAGGTGATGATGTTTGGTTTTTCTGTGTTCGGGAATTACAGAACTCTTACAGTAACTAAAGAGCAGACCTCGATGTGTGTGCCAGGAGAGACAGGAGAACTGCTGCACTGTCTGTCAGTAAACACTGTGTAAGGTAAATAACAAACATGAAAAGTTTGTTGCATCTTGGCATGATGTTTCTGTGAAGAGATTGGAATCTGAAGAAACTGCACAAAAAGCAACAGGAATTTTTAGTATAAATAGCTCATTAAGAGAAATGTGAGGTGAAAGCAGAAATATTTTGCATGAGAGGCAGCTGCTCTTTCAAAGGGAGCGACATCTCCCAGGCTTTTATTTGCTATTTCTACTGGTGCTTAGCAACTCAGGAATAAGAACCCAATTTCTGTTTGCCTTAAGGACAAATGTAAATATGTTCTGCATGTACTCGAAATGTATTGTGAAAAATAAAAGTTGGATTTCTGTTTTTTTTACACAGTAATGGTGTCATTTTTCCCCATATGTATTCTCAAATGTATAATCAGTTCTGAAAATAGTATTTTCAGTACAAGGGAACTATATGAAACCTAATCTGTAGGTACATTTCATGTAATGTGAGCTGCTGATGTAGTTTAGTTTGGAAGTCAGTCAGCCCACAAAACCTAACCTTTCTCCCATTTTCCAGGCTGTGAGTCAGCCACACAGCTGACTTGATTGTACTGCTGCCACCTAATTTTTTCCTAGAGCATCTGTTTTTAGCAGACATCCTGCTTTGTTCTGAAGGATTTGCATTTTTGCATGTTTGTTCCTCAGCTTGATTTTAAAAGTCAGACTGATGGTCATCAAGCATATACAACTTCACGTATTTCTTTAGTTACAAGTAGCCCTGAGATGAGTGTCATGTGTCCTGTAAAATGCTTTCAGAAGATCCACTTTACTCTCAATTTGGAACTACCAAGCATTTGAGCTGGATGGGTTCTTTAAACTTCCTACTTTCTGTTGTTCAAATACAAATAGCAGATCCTTCTGATGATTCAAAGCTGGGAGGAGTCACAGATGCTCCAAAAGGCTGTGCTGCCACTCACTAAGACCTAGACAGCCTTGAAAGTTGGGCTGAGAGAAACCTTATGAGGTTCACTAGGGGCAGGCGTAGAGTCCTTCACATGGGGAGGAATAACTGTGTGCATCTGTACAGGTTAGGCGCTGGCATGCCCTAAGGGAGCTCTGTGGAGAAGGACCCGAGTGTCCAGGTGGCCAGCAGTTGCCCTTGTGCCAAAGAAGGTCCTTGCTATCCTGAAGCACATTAAAAAGAGTGTGGCCAGCAGGTGGCCTCAAGGGAGGTGATCCTCCCCCTCTGCTCTGCTCTGGTGAGGCCACATCTGAAGTACTGTGTCCACTTCTGGGCCCCTCCATTAAAGGAGCTTCTAGAGTCCAGCGGAGGGCTCCAAAGATAATTAGAGGTGTATCTCCCTTAAGGAAAAGCTGAGACACCTGGGACTGTTCAGCCTGGAGAACACTGAGAACGGATCTTATTAATGCTTATAATAAAGGGTGGGTGTCGAGGGCAGACAGGCTCTTTTCAGTGGTTCCCAGCAACAGAACAAGAGGCGGTGGGCACAAACTGGAACATAAGAACTTCCATATGAACATGAGAAAGAACATCTTTACTTTGAGATTTACAGAGCATGGGAACAAGCTGCCCAGGGAGGTTGTGGAATCTGCTTCTCTAGAGATATTCAAAAACCATCTGGAATCCTTCCTGTGCAACCTAGTGTAGAGAAGCTGCTGTAGTGGGAGGGTTGGACTAGATGATCTCCAGAGGTCCCTTCCAGATGCTGTGATTCTGTTCTATTTAGCTAAGATCACATAGAATAAGCCATGTTAGATGCTGTTGTTCACTGGGTCTTTGTATAAGATCTTCCCATGGGGCTTTACCTGCTCCATGCAGGTACCAGGGAAAGATCAGGGGTTTATCAGAGCTGTCTTCTGACTGATCTGATTTTCCATTTCCTGAATGCGCTGTGGGGCAACTGGTTGTGTAAGCCAAGCTATACCAGAAGCAGTTTCATGGACTACCCAGCACCTAAAGTCTCATCCTCAGTGTTTTCACAAATTCAGGAGGTAGATCTGGGGAAAGGTCAAGAAAGGAGGACTTCCATCATACAGACATCCTTTGAAGTCACAGACCATGAGTTAATGAGCAGCAGCTCTCACGCACAGCTCTTGTTACTGCTTATTTGCAGTTAACTGGGATAGTAACGTAATGATTTCAAAACTGCCACATGCGGCTCTCAGGAATGATGCATGCTTTATAGCTACCAGGAACAGCAGCCCTCTGCATGGAGGTAAATGGGGACAAGGAAAGTAATTTAAGCACTCATTTTTATCTCCTGATATTCTGCAAGCTGAGTTCCCTTATGCTTTACTTTGCTATATGTCCACAGTTTTCTAGTTCATACTCTCTTTTTCATCAGTATGCAACAGGGAGGAATCCACAAGCATTTTGTCTACTAGGAGCCAGGGTCAAGACAGTGTTATTTTGGAATTTTAAAAGCCCCATTTATACGTAACAGAGCTCTTGCCTCCCAGCAGCACAGCTTGGCATCTGTCCGACCACTTTGCTATTGCTAGAAAGCTCCTGGCACTTGGGGGCTTGAGTCAGAGTTTGAAATTTAGTTATTTATTTTAATATACACAGTAGTGTATTGCTGTAAGGATTGCAAATAAGGTGAAAAGTCTAATCAGAGAAACAAGAACTAAGGTTTTCAGTAAAACAACTCCTCTCAAGGTCTTGGGTACATCATAGGCTAAAGTTCAGTTCTAAGGAATCAAAATTGCTGCTCAGAAGGAATCCTGTGCTTTGGCTGCAGTAACTCAGTATGTCCAGTGAGTGAATGAACTCTTAAGGAACCCCGAGGATTTAATGCATTTAGTGCAGCAAGTATCAGAGTGTAAAACTTCCATAAGGAGGAAGTACACAAAATGTCTGCTAGTCCTGAAGCAGGGCGATTCTTTAAGGATAGGTTTGCATACTGATGAGAGACAGCACTGCAGGGACCTCACTGGAAAGCATCACACAGGAATGTATCTGGAGCAAAAAACTGCTAGAACAAGATGATAAAATCAGGCAAATATTTGATTGCATTTAAATGCTTACAGTAACTGTAATGCATCTCCAGTGAGTGTGTTAGCTAGAGTTTTTAGTTCTGGAATTCCAGACACAAATTTTAGCAATCATCTTGGGGTTTCATCATGATCCCAAAAGTCTCAGTCATTCCATATTGTTACTACCATTAATAGGCTTGACCTTGGTGATCTTGATGTCCTTGTCAATGTGCTTTAACATACAGGCTTTTTGTCATTTTTCCTTCTGTGGTACAACTTTCAATGTGGGCAACAGCTAAGTTTTCTCTAGGAACATATTAGGATTTATTTACTGACCAAGATGGTTGCTCCTGCCCCAGCTCTCACAGCAAGCAATGTGTGCTGGAAGATGAGGCAGAGTGCAAGACATGGAAAACAGTTGTGGCGCCCAAAATGATCCCTATGGGATCGGATTCCCCACTTTTCTCTGCCAAAGCCATCTCAGATGTTCCTCACATCCCTATTTCAGCACTCAGCTCTGATGCAGCTGCAAATGCTCCATGCTCCATGTGCTGGACATGTGGGCTGTGCTAACAAAATCACCATTGCTGGGAACACCTCTAAGTGCTGCACATCAGCATTTGATGCTGTTGAATGACCAGCACAGTTTGGACCCAGGCCAGTCTTCCCACAACTCCACAGGCACAGCTGAGGAGCTGGTAGGGCCAGGCAGTGCTCCTGGCCAGCAGTGCAGCAGGCTGCTGGCTTTGGAGGCTGAAAGCTTTAACAGCACAGTCGGGCAGCTTCCTGCCAGCCAGATGTAGACACAAAGAGCTGCTCCAGGTACAGTTAAGGTACCAGCCCAGACAGAGAGGCAGAGCTGATAGTACCTGGAAAATTGTGTTCACCCCAAGTGGATGGATGCTTAGGACTTTCATCTGTTTGTACTGTTGCCCTCTTTGCCATAAAGTAATAAGAGCACAGTCTGTGTGAAGCAGTTGTTCATGAATTGCTCAGAACATGTAGTGGTGAGGCTGCTCTAAGGGCCTGAGACCATCCTTGCTGCCAGAGGTTTGGTCGCTGTGGCCTGGGGCAACTGCTCATAACAGGGACCCTGAGGACCAGCCCCAGTCTGGCCTGTCCCACAGATGTACCCCTGGCCTGGCCCATCCCCACAGAAGTGCCTTGGGCCTGGGGCAGCTCCTGCCATGCTCTGGCCTAGATGTGGGGGTTTACATTACATTAGAGTCAACCTGAATGCAGTACTCCAGCATAAACTGTAGCATAAAATAACAGTAACTATTAAAATAAATATTGTTGTTTTATTGCCAAATAATAAATATTGCAGATAATAAAACATAGAAGAAAATAATAGGTATTTTCCCTGCCATTTGGGAAATCAATGGAAAGTCACTGTAAGCCTCTTGTTTGCTATTAATAGGATCTGGACCAAGCCGGTGTCCTGACAATAAAATTGCTCTAATAGAGTATTGCTTACATGATGCTTTTGTACAAAAGGTAGTGATGAGTTGGAAGGAAAACAATGTAAGAGAGCACAGATCCCATTTAAACAAAGAGAAGATTGTACAGGATGATTTTCTGAAGGGCATTACTGAATAAAATCCTACCTAAACAATCTGACTTACCAGGTTAAACCACAGGAGATGGAATGTTGTGCATTTTGAGATCATTTTGCACGCCAACAGAATAAGAGGACAAGGAAGCAGACTTCCATCCCATGTCATACAGGCTTTAAGTGTGACTCCCTTTATGACTTCTAAATCAAAACACTCAGTTAATGCTTTAAATTCAGGATGCTGAATTATAGGGACGGGTGTGAACCTACTGCTTTATGAAAACAAGTGAATATTTGGAGTCTCATTTTGGAGTAAAATGAGTGGGATTCTCTATACAAACAAAGCTCACTATAATTACAACTGCTATAGCTATTCAGTGTTGCCATTTCAAGACTCTAAACCAGAATATTAACTACTTTTCCTTCGTTTTCCAATTGCCTTGATTTCATGGCCTTTTGTGCATTATAACTGGATTAGCGGTTATGATCACCAGGATTTGATATGATTAAGATTATGAACTTGCCGCATGTCTTCCAGCTTTTGAATTGCTTTGCATAGCCAGTGCTTGGCAGTGTTCGTTGAGTACTTTGAGATATAAATTATTTATGTAAATGGAAAATTCACTTTTGCGCTGCAACCTCCAGTCATTGCACTGGGTCGAGCAAAGCCACCACTGAAAAAATGCCAAGGAGCTGAGCTGACCTGAGCTGAGCAGCAGGCAGCACTGCTGTGCCCCAGAGCTTGTCCAAGTCACACCAGAGGGTGCCTGACAGTGCCTGAGTGTTGATGTAAGTCTGCTTTGTTATGGTCATGGGATACACTGTGCTGGCCCAGACATGCT